CTAATAGTAATGAACATTCTCCCAGGTATGATGCTGTAGGTTCCAGTAGATAAGCTTCAATGAAAAAAAAATTCCTTTCATTTCTAGCTTTCTAGAAATATGTTTCTTGTTATTTTAGAAAAAAATGTTTAACACATGGAATTTAGAAATATATTTAGCTTTTACTGGGTGCAGCGGTGTATGCTTGTAATCACAGTACTTGGGAGGTTGAGTCAGGAGGGTCAGGAGTTCAGGGTTATCCTTAGCTACACAGGAGTTCAAGGCCAGTTTGCGAGACATGAGAATCTGTTCTAACATTCCCCAACAATATCTATGTGCATATAAATATATACATTTATATACACATTTAGTTTTTAGCCTGTTTAGTAAGCTTTGATTTATTAATATAGTGGAATATATTTATAAATTTCCTAATTTTGATGTGTAGAACAAGTTGGGAAAATTTCCCTTTTCTTTTCATGTCTTGTAGGTAACTAATAGTGAACAAATTATCAGTTACTTAAATCCTTGGTAGAGTTCACGCATAATACCACCTGGACTTGGTGGCTTTGGGGGGTAATTTCTGATAATCTTTTCCATTTTTTCTATAGCCTTTTTTCTCTCATCCTTCCCTACTTATTTCAGAGTAAATTTCATGATTTATATTTTCCCTATAAAGTTGCCCATTTTACTTAGGTTTTAAATGATGCAAATATGAAACTAGTCTGTTCACTCTGATTTAAGATTTTTTGCTTATTTTTCTTTCCTCATCTTTAATGTTATTTATATTTCTTTTTAATTAAACAATTTTTTTGTATTTTTGAGACAGGGTCTCTCTGTAGCCCCAGCTGGCTTGGAACTCACTATGTAGACCAGGCTGGCCAAGAACTCAGAGATCTATCTGCCTCTGTCTCTCAAGTGCTGGGATTAAAGGCGTGTGCCACCACACCCAGCTAGTATTTATATTTCTAAATCATAATTTTCAGTGATTTATTTTGCATTTTTCTCCCAAATGTATTTTATTTTATGATTAAATTCCTTTAAATTTCATGTATTCTTACATTTAGGAATCTCCTCCTTTTCTTAGATTTACTCACTATACAACTTCTTTTTCAGCCTTTATGTTTGAATATTTAACTGATTTTTAATTTTCCTCTTAATAGTTCATTTTAAATTTGCACATGCCACTGTGCATGTGTGCAAGTCAGAGAACAACTTGCAGAAGCAGCTTCTCTCCTACCATGTGGCTCTGGGGCTCAAACTAAGGCCATCAGCCTTGATGGCAGGAGTCTTTACCCCCTGGGCCACCTTTCCAGTCCCTAATAATTTATGCTTTAAGACCATGTAGCACAGTGGTAAAGAACTTAGTCATTTGGTTCCTCACCAAACAAATGAACTAACAATAATAAATCCTCAACTAAGCCAGGAGCAACGGCACAGGCCTGGAGTCCTAGGTCTTCAGGAAACTGAGGCAGGATAATCACCTGACCCCAGGAGTTCGGGGCCACCTAGGCAGCATAGTGAGACATCATCTCTTTAAAAACAAGAACATGGCATGGTGGTTCATGTCTGGAATTCCAGAACTAGGGAGACATAGTAAGAGAATCACTGCAAATTGGAGGCCAGCCTGGTCTACATAATGAGTTCCAGGCCAGCCAGGGCCACTCAGTGAGATACTCTCGCAAAGCATGAGGCAAACAAATAGAGAACAAGCTATAAATTTCCCTCAGTGTGCTGCTGCTTCAGTGGCATTACATTGATTTTCATATTGTTTCTCTCTCTCTCCCTCTTGCTTTCTTTCTTTTTTTAGACAGTCTTGCAACGTAGCCCAGGCTGGTCCTGAACTTGTGATCCTCCTGCCTCAGAGCTGTACCACCATTTCTGGCTCTGATTTCTATTTTTAAGTTAAAAAAATTATTATTTTAAATTTTATTTTATGTGTATATGTGTATTGCCTGCATGTAGATAAGTGCACCCATGTCATGCAATGCCTATGGAGGACAGAAGAGGCTGTCAGATCCCCTGGAACTGGAGTTATGGACAGTTGTTAGCTGCCATGTGGGTGCTGGGATTTGAACCTGGGTCCTCTGCAAGAACAGCCAGTGTTCTTACCTGCTGAGCCATCTCTCCAGGCCCTTATTTATTTTTATTTTATGTGTATGAGTGTATTGTCTGTATGAATATAAGTACATCCATGTTGTGTACTGTCTGTGGAGGTCAGAAGAGGGCATCGACTTCTTCTGGAACTGTGGTTATGGGTGATTGTTAGTCGCTATGTGGGTGTTGGAAATCAAACCTGGGTCCTCTGCAAGAGCACCCAGTGCCCTTAACTGCCGAGTCAACTCCCCAGCCCTTATTTTTAAATTTTTAAAATTTATTCTCTCTTGAAGATTAGTAGGATAAAGGTGTTATTAAGGGAGAAATATGTAAAAGGGGGGTAGTTAATGGGGAGGTGGGGAAGGAGGACTATACAAATAACTATGGGAATAAAGGGGGAAATTTATCCAGATACACAGTTAAAAAAAAAAAAAAAAGCCTTAAGCAATCCTACAGGGATGGAAGAAAGCCCTTCCAGAAGCAATACGGCTATTAAATGAAAAACCCAGTGCCAGAGGTGGGTTGCCCCCTATGAGCTGTTGGCCTGAGGGACACTAGAGGTCTCCAAAACAATAAAGGCCATTGCCAATAATGTTGGTTGTACACCAGAAGCAGACAGAAAAACCCTATTGCTGAAGACACTGCATGATGTGAGCGCAGGAGGAGAAATCAAGCTTGGACTAAACTGGAAACTCCCTGCCACTGGACAGGTGGTTTTCATGGTGCCAAAAGGCAACATGCAGATGACTGGGGGAGAATAGTTCCCTATAAGTCTCCTCAATGACAGACCCTGCATGTTGCACTACAAAATACCAAACAAGATGGTCTTGCAGGTGCAATAGTGGAGCATCTAGTGTATGTACAATCAGAAAATTTTCAATTGGATATTGTCACCCAAGTTCTCTTGGGGTCTCTTGCTCTGGGCACTATCAGACAAACCATATAACATATCTTTATGTGAATTTATTATGGTTTAATCTGTTGGGGGTGGGAGGGGAGTGACTTACAAAGAAACGAACATTGGGTGCCTAGCTCTGCACCGTGGCTCAGAGCCTGCCATTCCATTCTCACTTCTGCAGCCTGCCCATAGTCACTGCTAGCTTTCCCCGACACCTCATGGGCCCTCTCGCCCCAGGTGGGTAAATGCCCCCTCTCACATCCACGTGGGTGAGACACCAGGGCCATCTTTCTCTCCGTGCCCTCTGCAGCTTCCTTCCCAAGATGGCGCAGAAAGCCCCTCCCTCCGTGGCTAGCTCTCCACAGTCAATTCTCCTCAGCAGGTCCTGCCCCTTGGAGGAACCAGGGCCCTGGGACAGATATAATGCCCGCTCCTAGGGGTGGAACACACATCTGGTACTGTAGACCTGGCCAACCCCCTGTGGCAGGGGAGACTATAGGCCCCAGTGGGGAAACCACTGCAATTGCTTTGCTGGATGGAAATGACACACCTGCTAAAGTACCTACCAAGCATTTGTGTTGACACCCATAGGTGTATACACCTATGTGCTAGGTGCTATAATAGGTTAAGTTATTATAGCAGTTACTGTTTAGATGTTCTTGCTTCTTGCTGTGTGTTTTTATAGTAGAAACTGAAACTGGCCAAAAGCCCATGGAAAACAGATGGTGCAGAGATCCGAAAGCTCAGTGCCTTGCCACAACAGGAGAAGGATCATCCCACACCTACCACCCTCTCTAAGGCTCAGGAACTTTTGCGGAAGAGGTTGGCAGAAAGAGCTAGAGGAAGGGGTGGAGTGTTAACTGGAAATGTCCTTCAACCACTATACTGGCAAGCTATAGTCACACCTCCTTTTCACGCTCATCAAGAAGTCAAGGGGGGAGTCAGTTACCCCTCCCGCCCAATCAATCGACCTTAGCTCCATGTGGGGGGAGGGGAAAAGGATATATAAGTCAAGAACACCAAGAGGCACCTCTCTCACCATTTTGTACTGTTGTCTGGAGGTCACAGGATCTGTATTTGAGTGTGGACTTTATGGTGCAGCCGTAAATGTGGGGTTCCCATTCTTCTGTAAATAAACCTATACCCTATGCTCTGTTAAAATAATAATAATAAATAAAATATTTTTAAAAATTTATTCTCTCTCTCTCTCTCTGTACAACTTCTGGGAATTGGTTCTCTTGTCAGGCTTGCATGGCAAGTACTTTTACCTCCTGAGCTGTCTCATCAGCCCCATTTCTACTTTTTATTTCCTATTTAATACAAAATTATTTAGATGAATGGTGGGCAAAATATATGCTCATATAAACATGTATTTGTATTCATAACAAACCTGTTGATTAGATTATTTGCATATTTTATATCTTCTCCCTCACATTCTCAAGGACCTGGCTTTAATTCCAATGTAAAACTGGTTCCCTTTTACCAACTCAGCAGAAAGGCTTAGCAACTAAGTCATGAGAAATGGGCATTTTCTTTAGGGATTGGCCAGATGGCTCAGCAGGTAAAGGTACAGGCTGCTAAGCCTGATGACCTAGTTCAAATCCTGGGACCAACATGGTGGAAGGACAGAACCAGCCCCACAGGTTGTCCTATGATCTCCACACATATACATACATGCAAAATAAAATGTAGTTAAAACATAAAAAGGACCACAAGACACATTGACATCATCAGATCCAGAAGAGCAAGGCTTGCCTGCCAAGGTATAGTAGAAACACTGGAAGCCAGAAAGATCCTACTCACCGAATGACACATCACTAACAGCAGATGTGAATTAGAGCCTGGGCTGCTAGAATGAAACTTGAACAGGATGTTGGGACAGATGAGCATTTTTGTTTCCTGCCTGAAGACAATTCATGGGAATAACATAGCTCAGAGTAATCCATGACCTGTTGCTGCTAGTTCGAATGTGTCTGCCTGCTTGTTTAGACACAAACAAGACACCTGCTTGTTTATGTCTACTCAGAAAAGTGGAAGGTAAAATCTTCAAGTTGGAGATGCTACTTGAAGACATTAAAGAAAACATGGATGCAGCAAGTGCACCTCAGCTCCCTCCATTCCTGGGCGCTTTCCAGCCGCCCTGGGTGTTGCAGCACCCATCTCCTCTTCAGCCTCAAAAGGTCATAGAGCAACCTACAGCCTAACGTGCTGCCAGGAAGAATCATGTTTATGCACGTTCAGACTCTCAACTCGTGAACTTACTGAATTCTGTTCTAATCTTTCATGAAAACGACTTGCTAAAGTCCCATGAATCATTATTTAAAATGGAATCAACTTTTAATAATTGTATACTATTTCAAGTGTTGGCTTTTAAGACATTTGTTTGGTTTAGGATCTAGCAATACAGTTCAAAATGATAAACTACTGAGGAGCTTCTTCTAGATGAATCATAAGACTTTTTTAGATCATGCCTGGAAAACACTTTTTAAAAAACTCTTCATAGTTTTGTGTGCTCACTATTTTAAATTAAAAAAAAAAACCCAAGCTCTGTTAAATAATAATTTCCTCTGACTCCATTTTTGTATTTTCCGTCTTTCAAGTTAAATTCTTTTAGATTATCTACATTTGCAGGACTGAGCGGCCCATCAATCAATCCCTATTGGTTTTCCATGCTTTTTGTTCTTAGTTTTTTTGTCCTGCAAGCACTTTACTAGTGAGCCATCTTCTCAGCCTCTGTCTTTGATTCTTCTCTAACAACGGTCTTGCTGCATAGTCCAGCTGGTCTGGAACTCACCACACAGACCAAGCTGTCCTAGACTTTCAGTAATCCTCCTGCCTCTGCCTCCCAAGGACTGGGATTGCAGACAAGAACCACCACACCCAACTCAGCCTTTTGTGTTTGTAGCTCAATTATCAGAACATTTCAGACTAAATTAAAATTCCAAGAAAGCGAATCACCTAATTAATTAATGACTCTTTCATACAGTATTTGAAGACATAACCTGGGGCTGATGTTCAAAACTTGAATGAAGCTTTTGTCAGAGCCAAGGATAAGATGAGATTATATAAATGTAAGCCCGTCCAAAGACATACGTCTGCCTCCCCCAACCTCTTGCTTCCTGGCAAAAATCTCGCTTATTCAAGGCCCAGCTTCAGAAGACGTCATCTTCAGTACCGAGTCTTCCACCTCAGCTCCAGCCTGTGTGCAGCCTTAGCCCTGGGTCTGCTTTGTTTCGTGCCCTGGTACCCCAAATGCCTGATACAGAGTGGAGGTTCTGTACTGGAAGCCCTGAGCCCTTTGGATTTAATGCCATTTCAGTGCTGCCCAAGCAGACTCTAGTGATGCTGTATGGTACCCTTCTGAACCTGAACCCCAGTTAGCTTTAGGACAGTGGGAGGGAGCCCGAGTCAGCCCAGTCACCCCCAGCAGGTCTGGGTTTGCTCTTGATTTGATCCTAAATTTACAGCAACTACTGCAAAGTGATAAAAAGTCTCTAACTACAATGGGTAGCCCTAAGAATCCACTGCTAATATTACTCATTCAGCAATTCATTCATTCTTATAGTAATTATTGCTAAATGCTAGGTAATGTTCTAGGTACTGGGGATACAGCCTAAGGCAGAATCACCTGACATGCTTACCCTTCTGTGTGGAAGATACTCAGCAAACAGAATCGAAATAATTGCAGTGTTAGTGTTTTGCAGGGAGTAATAGTACATTCTGCATGACTCTGAATCCAGCTGCCTGGGTTAAAATGCTGGCTCTCTCACTTACCAGCTTTGTGATCTTGGACAGTTACAAAACCTCTCAGTGCCTTCCTTTGGAAAATGAGGATAATAATGCCTGCTTGGCAAGGCTGTCAGTGCATTAGTATATGTACTTAGAACAGGGCTGGGCTCAGAGAAAGCATATCACCTGGGTGTTAGTTGTCATGCCTATTAAGTAATAGAACATGACCAAAGTAAGTGTGGGAGGCCAGTGTCCTAAGGGATAGGTAACATCTGAACTGGATCCTGAGGTAAGACCACAGCTGGGTGAGGAGGCCTGGGAAAGGGACTGGGGGCAGAATGTGAAGGCGACTTAGGGTGTTTGGGTGCTGACCTGATCCCACAGTCCTAAAGGCATCCTTCTGTTCTCCCGCAGATGACCAAGGAGCAAGCTGACTGCTTACCAGGGCCCCAGGGCTCATGCAGCCGAGCAGTGACAAGGCTGCCACGGGCAGGGCCACAGGAGGCCACCTCCAGAGAGCTCAGCAAGCTGGCCGAGGCAATGCGAGTCCTCTCCTCACTATCTCACACCACCTTGCATCTCAGGGTACTGACCATGTCCTCACATTGTAGCAGACTGCTCCACTTTTGCCTGCAGCCCAGGAGCAGAGGGTGAGGGCCGAATAGGGCAAAGGAAGAGAAGAAAGGGTCAAGTGGCTGCAGGACATCCACATCACAATTGTCCCTTAGGTGGCTCCTACAGGCCCGGGGTGCTGAACTAAATTAAATTCCTGAGGGCTCTTCACCAGCTGGGGGAAGGTAGTTCTAGAACTGATGTTAACATGCAATTGGCTTTTCTTTTCTTTTTTAATTATTTACCTAAATAGGCTGAGTAAGGCTACAACTGCCCAGGATTAAACAGAACAAATGACCCTGTGGCTAGTCCCATCCTGTAAGCCCTGCCTACTTCCCTTCTGTTTTTCTATTGGCTCTTATAAGTCCTGTTGCCCTGCCTGGTGGTACACCCCTGCCATCCCAGCTACTCTGGAGGCTGAAGCAGGTGGATCACAAATTCAAAGACTGCCTGGTTTACAAAGTGAGTTCAAGTCAGTCAGGGCAACCTCAGGAGCACCTGTCTCAACATTTTCAACAATAAGGAAAAGACTGGGGATGTAGTTCAGAGGTGTATCATAAGTTTAGTATGCAAGAGGCCCTAGGTTCAATCCTCAGTACCCAAAACCAAAAGGCCCTAGTGTTGTTGAATATGACCCTGATGCTGGGATCATCCAGATTGGGCCTGACTACTTTCCTCTTTTCTTTTCCTTTTTTCCTTCCTTCCCCCTTTCTCTCTCTTCTTTTCCTTCTCCCCCCCTCCTTTTTTCTTTCTTGTGTTGGGGATTGACCCCAGGGATGCTGCATCTGAAACTTCGCTTCCTCCTGAGCACCAACCCCAGCCCCCCGCTCTTACTGTCCTGGGATGCCTGGTGTTAGATAGCAATGCTGCTCAGCTAACTTTCCTACTCTTTCAGTTTTCTGGGGGAACTTGGGGTCCCTGGACCTAGACCAGTACTTCTCCAACTTCTCTGTACCTAGGAAGCATCCCTGCATCTTAATGGGCTTTGATTCAGCAGCTGTGGAATGAGTCTGTACTTCTGCAGTTCTAACCAGCTCTCAGATACTGCCAATGGTGCTGGTTCCCATCTAAGGTCCACCATTGAAATATCCAGGACTTGGAGATGCTTTCACTATGAATGAATTGGAAATACTGGGCTATAGTATGATAGCAATATTATAACCAGCAGAAAATAATATAATCACCATTGGATTAGAGTTTTGATTTGCAAAGACTTTTTGCAGGGGAGGAACGGTTTAGAAAGGTGAGACCTACCTAGGGCAAATGACAAGACAGACTTTAAAATCCAGGTCTCCCAACTTTTTGGAGGACATTTTTCCATTCTGGTATTGTAGATCTATTTATTTTATATTTTTTAATCTTTTGGGTTTTTTGTTTGTTTTTGTTTGGGGTCTTTCTGAGACAGGGTCTTCCTGTAGCCCCAGCTGGCCTGGAACTCCCTATGTAGATGGAGGTTGGCCTCCATCTCACAGAGATCTGCCTGCCTCTGCCTCCCAAGTGCTGGGATTAAAGGCATGTACCACCATGCCCAGCCTTTTCTCATTAAGTCTGTGTTTGATTAGTTGTGAAAAATCACCTGTGTCCACTTGTTTCTTGCCTTTTGCACCTTTTCTTTGACAACATTTTAACCCCTACTTGCAAAAACTGAGACCGCAGCAGATTTTTTAAAAGGCAGATGGGTAAATAGAGTGACTAATGATGCTGGTGTTGTAATTTTTCTTCTGTCTGTTGCTTTGACAAGGGAGCAGAATTGGGGTTAAGAATACATGCTCATGAGTCACACAGTAAAGGGTCAAGTGCAGCCCAGCCACTTACTCCCTCCCTGCCGAGCTGCTCAAGTTCTCTGAGTGTCAGTGTATTCATCATTAAAGTGGAGACAGCACGCCAGGATGGTGGGAGTCCTGAGGCTGTATGAGAAGAATCTGGCACACGATGAGTGATTGACAAGTTCTGTATTTGTTGCTCTTAGTAAAGGAGAAAAATAATGTAGCCCTCCAAAAAAATTTAACGAGTAAGGGATATGAACTAAAAAGTCATGAGTAAGAAATGTAGCCAATAAATAATCATAGAGGAAATGCTCACCTCCTTTAATAATAGAAGAGATCCTAATTAACACAACTTGCTCCCTCTTTAAGTTAACAAAATCATTTTCAAGTGACAGTTTTTGGAACTGAGGTAGGTGTGGCCAAACTGTGCCGGCCACATTGTTGGTGGCTGTGTAATCCAATCATGAAACTTTTGTAGAAAGCGATTTGGCAAAAGGTATCACCACACAAACATGTTCGAAACCTTTGGCCCAGATGTTTCCTCGGGAAGCAATTCAAAATGTGGAAAACCTACGTGCTCAATGATGCCTGTGTCAGCATTGTTTATGATGGGGAAAAGTCCATTCATTTTCTGTCTACATAAAGGCTTACACAGTCAAACTAGATGGGGGGTGCTGTCATCCTTTCAGTTCAATAGTGCAATTGCTATGTGTTTTTTTTTAAAAAAAAGGGAGGGATGTGTGTATGTCCCTCATTTAAGCCTTCAGCAGTCCCTAGACCTTAATTCACATATGAATACATTTCTCTGAAAAAAACTTTGATCTTGTACTGTACCCAGTGGTCAGATTGATTGATTTAAAAATTAGCTTCTGGGGTCAGGGAGATAGTCCAGTGGGTAACAGCTCTAGCTGTGCATGCCTGATGTCTCGTTTGATCCCTGAAACCCATGTAAAAAGTATGATGTGGTGGCACCGAACTATAATCCCAGTAGTTCTATGGTGAGATGGGAGGTAGAGACAGAATCTCCCAGGCAGGCCAACTAGCCTGGAGTCCATAGTGCAGCTGCAGAACCAAGAGAGACCCTGCATCAACAGGGCAGGAGGTAAAACTGACTCTTGGAAACACACACACACAGACACACACACACACACACGGACACACACACACACAGACAGACACAGAGACACACACAGAGACATACACACAAATTTAAAAACTTATCTTCTGAAGTAGGGCTGTAGATCTGTGGTAGAGTACTTGCCTAGCATGGGTTTGATCCTTGCACCACAAAAACAAAAAAATCCTCCCCCCACAACTTCCCAAATCTGTTCATTCTGGGATAGAGGGTGGAGTACTTTGAAAACAAGGGGGTAGGAGGGAAGGGGAAAATATTCTCTCATCTGTACTCCAGATTTCAACATATTTTTGGAGGAAAAAAGAAGCCAAGCCAAGACTGAACCTTCCCTTCCCCACACCAGGCTGTGATAGGCTCTGTCCACACTAAGTGACATCAGAGCTAAGCATGGGCTCATTCTCTCCTCATCTCCCCACCCCCCTCAGGTCCACTCCCTTGTCTGTAAAAGGTGCTTGAGGTTTGTCTCTGGTCCTGATGTGGCGAGATCGGCCAGGTCTGAGCTGGCTGCACCCTGGGCTGTTATGAAACCCTGTCAATGTTCCAGCCTCCATCAGGTCCATATGTATATGGTGCATGAGGACCTAACTATACCTGGGGAAGAAGGGACATGCAGGTGGTGGCGCTCCATCCACACTGTGCTTTCTCTACTAGCTCCTTGGTTGGTGGGGGCTTCTTGCTACTATTCCCAGAATGAGAGAGAGATGATCTGGTGAGAGTGGGTGACAGCTAACCTAAGCCACTAGCCAACCTCAGAAGCATGGAGCTTAGTTCTGGGCTCTGTCTCACCCCGAAAGTCTGCTAGCTAGCACTGGCTTGTTAATGTGGAAAGCATCAACATCCCCAAAGAGGTTTATAAATAATGAATATAGGCTGGGCATTGTGGCACACGCCTTTAATCCCAGCACTTGGGAGGCAGAGGCAGGTGGATCTCTGTGAGTTCAAGGCCAGGCTAGCCTATATAGTGAGTTCCAGGCCAGCTGGGGGTAACAGGAGACCCTGTCTCAAAGACCAAAAAATAAAAAAATATGACTCACCCCACCTACTGCACTGCACAGTGAACACTGTGGGAGGGGGGTCTGGTAGGAGTCATGACGTTAGATCTCTTCAGGTGATTCTGATGAGCATCCTGGGTGAAAATCAGTTACAGCACATGCAGCATGGTCTGCAGGTTCTGTCTGACTAGTTCTCACAGGCACAGCCCTCTGTGGTGAGCCAAAGTCTTTCCTGGGTCTGGAGCGATAGCTCAGTGGGTAAGAGCGCCTGCTCTGCAAACCCAAGGACATGAGACTAAATCTCCAGCATCCACACAAAAAGTGGGCATGGCTATGAGTTCCTGCAACCCCAACATTTGAGGGGGAGGGGCAAGCTGATCCTGGGGGTTCACTGGGAAGCCAGTCTAGCTGAAATGACATCTTCTGGTTCCGTGAGATCCTGTCTCAAGGCAATAAGGTGGAAAGCAACAGAGGAAGACACCCAAGTCCTCTGCGTGTGTAGGAATCTACACACTCATGTGCATGCACACCACACACACACACACACACACACACACACACACACTCTTCCAGTTGGGTCCCACCTGTATCCGTCTTGCAGAATACAAGCTTCATTCCTCTTAGGGCAGGCCTTTTAATCCCTAACAAGAACCCTTTTCAGAATCAACAAGCTGTAAAGTGAAGAACTCTAAAAAGAAATTTGTAATGTTTTGAAGCACTTACTAGAACAGCTGTTGGCCCATGCGGTTTCAGAATATTTGTCGCTTCTATCAGTTAGGAGAGGCACCACCTCCTAGCAAAGCTCAGCTAATTTACCTTGGAAAGGTCAAGAGTCAAGAAGGGGGGAGCTGTTTTGCAACCACTATTTAAGTACATAATGAACTCCAATAAAGACAGATGACAAGGTTGGAAAGCCTGAAGCTTCCTAATAGGAAGCACTCCTCCATGGGAGTGGGCACCTGTCACCAAGTGTTTTATTGAATTTCCGCCCCTAAAAAAAAACAAAACAATGTGGAGTTGGTATCAACAAGACCATGCATCACCTGGTGAGGACCGATGCTTAAAACCTCTGGGTCAGGCTTCAGTTCTGAGCTGTCTTTTAAATACAAGGGCACCACTTAAAACTTACCCACTGAGGCGGCCCAGGCTTCTGATTTTCATGTATTTAATTAGGCCTAGATTTTGGATCCTTTTTTAAATTTTTATTTATTTTTTATTTTTATTTTTTGGTTTTTTTGAGACAGGGTCTCCCTGTAGCCGTAGCTGGCCTGGAACTTGCTATGTAGACCAGGCTGGCCTTGAACTCACAGAGATCTGCTTGCCTCTGCCTCCCGAGTGCTGGAACTAAAGGCTTGCGCCACCATGCCTGACTGTTGGATCTTTTTTTTTTTGGGGGGGGGTCTTTTTGAGACAGGGTCTCCCTGTAGCCCTGGCCTTCCTGGAACTCACTATGTAGACCAGGCTGGCCTCGAACTCACAGAGATCTGCCTGCCTCTGCCTTCCGAGTGCTGGGATTAAAGGCGTGTGCCACCACGCCCGGTCTGGATCCTTTTTTTAAAAATTATTTTTATCTTATGTGAAAGAGTGTACGTAAGAGTGTAACTATGCATGTAGGTAGTGTACCCCATGTTGTGCAATGCCCGTGGAGGTCAGAAGAGGGCACTGAATTCCCTGGAACTGGAGTTACAGATGGTTGTCAGCCACCATGTGGGTGCTGGGAATCAAACCTGGGTCCTCTGCAAGAGCAGCCAGTGCACTACTGCTGAGCCATCTCTCCAGGCCCGATTTTGGATCCTTAAAAAATGTTTTTATTAGGTCTCATGAAAATATTTTGGCATTTAAAAATATTTTGATTAGGCACTCAAGGTACCAATTGTTTCTCTTGTAAATGCTTAGTCTAATCCTACAGACCCACATAAGTAACAGGACAGGGACCAGTGTTAGAGACCAAGCAGGTTTTTATAATGGACAAGATGGAAAAAAAAAGCACATCCCACTGTAAAATCATACAAGTGAATCCACTGTGTGGGCATCCTGAGCCATGCATGAGTTATGAATTGAAATCCTGGTAAACTATATAATAGTCCTGAGGAAGGGAGAGCTGGGTAATCTCCACTAAAAGATTAGATTTAATGTCTTTACTGGGTTGTATTCTTTATGAAGTTTGATGATACACAAATTGTAAATTACCTAAATGTAAATATGCTAATGTGAAACATTAATGTGCATCCCTGCATGTTATTTCTGATGCAAACATTGGGTATAAGACTATAACCAATAAGAAGCTAAAAAGCTTCATCTTACTGAGAAACTGCCTTCTCCAGTAGAATTGCCCTGGGCCGATCTGTTTGGCCAGAAGATTTGGGTGTAGAAAGGAGTTTCAAAGCAGCAGAGAAACTGAATTCATACACTGGACTGTACTCACTTGAATGAGAGCCAAGTTTCCCACTTTGGAGAGCAGATGTTCAAATGCCTCAGAGGCAGAAGGTGGGGACAGGAAATGAGGTGTGAGACTATGTGACTCAGGAGGACAGCATGTTTTTCCAAGAGGAGGGGAAGGGCCTGGCTTCCCAGCCCCAACCCCAGGAGCCCCAATTGGGGTTGCCTCTCCACCATCAGCAGGCCCAGGCCCAGCTGGATGTGCATGAGTTTGCTCAGCAATGCCTTCAGTTCTTACCCCAGCCCTGGGCAAGCCAGTTCCAAGCCCACGAAGATGTCCTGGGCAGAGTGCCCTCCACACTAAGAATGCACACCTTCCCCTGGGGGCTGTTACTGTATCCCAGGGTCTGAGCCAGAGCTTTGTTAAGAACAGTTATTAATTAAAGTTCTTTTAGAGGGCTTAATATTTCTGTGAAGAGAGGCTGAAGCTAAGTCAGGTCAGGGCAGTCTCTCGAAAACGATGCTTACAGTTGCGTCTTTCTGACGCCCCCTGGTGGCTGAATGCAATTATTCTGAACCAACGCCTTAGCCTCACAGAAACAAGCAAAACTCACATCGCTGGACTTACATTCACCTTGTTCTTACAGAGCCAGTTATGGGGCCCAGTACTAATGTATAGCACAGCCTCTTCCCCAAATAAGAACTTTGAGTCAGCTGTGGTGGCTTAGCCTAAAATCCTAGCACTCTGAAGGTTGTGGGTACAATTTCTTACAGAGAAGCAAAGGAAGGGCAGAGGGGCTCTCTGTGTTGAGGACAACAGGCTGATCCTACGTTGTTCTGGGCTCAAATACAAGGAAATATAAGAATACAAATATTACTTTAATTACATTTATTTATTGGGTAGGAGGGGGGCCACACATGCTACAGCATATGTGTGGAGGTCAGAGGACAACTTGTAGTAGTTTATTCTCTCCTTTGATCACGTGAGTGCCAGAGACTGAATCCAGGTCATTAGGTTTGGTGACGAGTGCCCTTAACCTGCTGAGCCATCTTGCTAGTCCACTGAATATAAGAAATTTAATACTTCGGGGCCGGAGAGATGGCTCAGTGGTTAAGAACACTGGTTGTTCTTGCAGAAGACCTGGGTTTGAATCCCAGCTCCCACATGGCAGCTAACAACTGTCCAGTCCCAGGGGATCCGACAGCCTCTTCTGACCTCCGAGGGCATTGCATGACACGGGTGCACTTACCTACATGCAGGCAATACACGTATGCACATAAAATAAAAATAATAAAAATTTAAAAAAATTTAATACTTCAATTAGCTCATACTAGAAACGTACTAAAATTTTATGTAATCTTATTATTTTTTTTTTTAAGGAAACAAAAAATGGAGAAAAAGGGCTACAGAAGGACCACCTATGGGAAGTTTTCCATCACTACCCATGAAAAGGGACTGCACCAAGATTCAGCTTTTGTGTAAGTTTGAGAGGCTGAGTTGCAGGTACTCAGTTGCTCAGGACCCCTCTCTGTGGGGGACTGCTCACAGTGGGTGGCCAGCTTGTCACCTGCCTTCCAGTAGCATGGCTAGACTGGGATGGTATTTGTTTTATTTACTGGTTTTAGAATGTAAAGAATTAGTAAATGACTATTTAAATAAGAAGTAGATGCCAGGTGTGGTGGCACACGCCTTTATCTCAGCACTTGGAAGGCAGAGACAGGCAGATCTCACTCTGAGTTTGAGGTCAGCCTGGTTTAAAGAGTGAGTTCCAGGCCTAGGTTACATAGTGAAACCCTGTCTCGATAAACAAAAACAAAACCAAGAAGTCGTTAAGTACAGTGAGGTGCCAGCTCCTGCTTTTAGCTGCTCACTATGCCCACCAATATCCAAGACCCACAGCTGCACTTGGTAAGGTCACCAGCCCTGGGGGAGTTGCTACTGACTTGTTCGAACACAAATCACAGAAGCAAAGAAGGTTGGAGGTGGGAGGAGATGCAGAGGGTGTAAGTGCATGGAAGTTAATACTTTAGTCATTAAAATCCTTGTTCCAAAGATATGTTTAAAGCAGAGAAACACGCTCTGGCCAAATTGCTGAAGGTGAAGGAGAGGTGGCCTGGAGGCCTGCCTGCTCAGGCAGCTCCTGAGCTTGAGAGCACTGATGGAGCCAACCAACCCCATAGCCTAGTTGAAGCAGGCCAGAGAGCTGACATGGCTTGCTTATGATCATGCCCTGTGCTGAGAACCTTGCCTGCCACTCCACATTCTGTTAGGTCCCACTTGGTTCTAAGCTGGGCTCTGGACAGTATATTTTCAAATAATAGGTATTTGAGGCTGAAGAGATGGCTCAACAGTTAAGGGCTCTTGCTGCTCTTCCTAAGGACCAGAGTTCAGTTCCCAGCACCCATATGGCAGCTCACAATCCCCTGGAACTCCAGTTCCAGGGGATCCGATGTCCTCTTTTGGCCTCCACGGACATGTGGACATATATGTGCATACACAGACCAGACACATAAAAAGAAGTCTTCAAATAATAGACTTCATGGATTGAACACTTGTTATACTCAGTGTTTATAACAGGGTTTTCACACTGTGATCAGAGGGCCCCTGAAGCCCTTCCAAGGTCTTTCCTTTATCCATTAAGGCCAATATTGCAACAGACTGATAGAGATGCAGTGATGGAATCTAGTTGTCTACTATGAAGCCAGACAAAGACAGTTGCCAAAACATAAAACAGTGACATTCTTCTCATTAATTTTTTCATTTTGGAAAAAATTTTTCACTGAAATATATTACTTTGTTAATGTGAGATGAATTTACTATTTTTCTTCTTAAGTTTTTATATGTATGAGTGTTTTGCCTGCACATATGGAAGTGCAGCACACTGAGTACAATGCCGGTGAAGACCAGAAGAGGGTGTTGGAACCCTTGGAACTGGAGTTATGGAAGGTTGTCCATCACCATGTGGGTACTAGGAACCGAACCCAGGTCCTCTGCAAGAGCAGCCAGTGCTCTTAATCATTGAGCTATCTCTCCAGTCCCTATTTTTATTTTTCAATATGTTGCCCAGGTTATTCCCAAACTTCTGGGCTTTTGTGCTTCCCCTGCTTCCGTTTCCCAAGTAGCTGGGATGACAGGGGTGTCACTGGGCCCCCTTCTTGCTATCATTGGTGGTGTGGAGGGTCGAACTCAGGCCTGACACGTTAAGAGCTCTGATACTGAACCATACCCCCAGCCCTTGTTGTTTTTAAATGACTTTTTTTTTTTTTTTTTTTCTTTTTGAAACAGGGTCTCCCTGTAGCCCAAGCTGTCCTGGAACTCACTATGTAGACCAAGCCGGCCTTGAACTCACAGAGATCCGCCTGCCTCTGCCTCCCAAGTGCTGGGACTACAGGCATGCACCACCATGCCTAGCAAATGACACATTTTTTTCATGTCTCAGTTTGAAACATAAAAAAAAAAAAATCTGCACAACTGTTCATTTAGTCTTAGGGAGATTTGGATATAGAAATATTTTGTAGTTTACATATCATGAACCCTTTGTGACTCCATCTACAGCTGAGTGACTGTTGTATAGTTCTGATTTGGGGAGATTTTGTTTCTTAATTCATAATTTTTTTGAGAATTTCATATATGAGTATTATATTTGCATTTTTCCATCCCTCCCAGTCCCTTCCAACCTCTCTCATGTCCCTCTGTTTTTTATTTTGTTTTTGGAGACAGGGTCTCATGTAGCACAAGCTGGCCTTGAACTCCTGATCCTCCTGCCTCAGTCTCCCAACTGCGGGGATTACAGGCCTGAGCCTCCATTCCCAGCTTCAGGAGTGTATAAAATGGTATGTTTGGAGCTGGAGAGATGGCTCAGTGGTTAAGAGCACTGGCTGCTCTTGCAGAGGACCCAGGTTTGATTCTTAGCCTCCACACGGCAGCTAACAACTGTTCATAACTCCAGTTCCAGGGGAATCCGATGCCCTTTTTTGACCTCCTCAGGCATTGCATGACATGGGTGCACTGACATACATGCAGGCAATTCACTCATACACATAAAATAAAATATTTTAAAGTAAGTAAACAAAATGGTATATGCTGTGGTATATTGTACATATAAACTACATAAACACAAGATGTTTAGGGTCCTCAATTGTAATGTAAAGGGTACTGACATAGTATTTAATAATTTTCCCACCCCTGTAAGACAGAAATCAGTTTACAGATAAGAAAATAAAGGCTCAGCTGGGCGTGGTGTTGCATGTCTTTAATCCCAGCACTCTGGAGGCAGAGGCAGATGGATCTTTGTGAGTTCAAGGACAGCCTGGTCTATATAGTGAGCTCCTTGCCAGGGTCAAAGATTTAGTGTATAAGCTCCCTGTTGCTTCACAACAAAGTATCCTGGAGCTTAAGGCTCAATGTAGTGACTGTTATTAGCTCACAGTTTTTGTGGGTCTAGCATTTGGCAGCAACAGGGCTGGTGGCTCTGGCTGAGTCTCTTAGGAGGATGAAGTCAAGATGTCTGTCAAGACTGGGTTGCCTGAAGGCTTGACTGGGGCCAGAGGCTCTGCCTCCAGGAGTCAGTTCCCTACAATGTGAGCCTTGGATAGACCATATTGCTTGCTTGCCACTGGGATGTGGCAGCCAGCTTCCCTCAGAGCAAGTGATCTGAGAGAGAGGTGGGAAGGAGAGAGAAGCCTCCGGGACCTTTATGGCTTAGTGTGGGATGTTAGGCTTTATTTTGTTAGGCACAAATCCATACTCAAGGAGGGGACACAGGCTTTGCCTCTACCCCCACCCCCACCCCCACCCCTCTCTGCACCGTGGTGCTGGGGCTATAAACGCATGGCATGTACATGCAAGGCAAACATTCTACCATGATTTTTAAAGTATCAAAGAATTCACAGACTATTTTCAACCATCACAGTTGGTAATTGGCAGAGCCAGGCTTCAACCCCTGGTCTCCACACGCATTCCATTTGTGATTCATGCTTATATCCTCCCTGCCTGGCCTTGTGTTTCTTCTACCCTCTGGTCTTCCATGGAGTCTCCAGAGCCCACAGCCTGCCAGTGCTAGATCTGCACCAGGTACACATGCCCACTGTTCTTAACCCCTCAGGCCAGGCAAACATCACTTAGATTCTCATCTGAGCTTATGGATGTCACATGGGAGGAAACCATCTTTGCAACCATAGGTCTTGGCTCTCAGATGAAGAATGTGGATGCACTAGGAAAACCTGGAAAAATAGCTATCAATGCAAGACTGTCCAATAATGCAGAGGGCCAACTTCCCACAGAACATCAGCAGGTCTTTCTTATGGGTCTATGTGGACTGGGTACATCTACAGACTTTCTTATTTTAAGTATCTGTTGTTAGAAGGGCATCTGGGATGTCCCCTTGGTAGCACAGAGGTCGCTGTAGTACCTGACAGATACCCTGCTCATCAGCACTCTCCTCTCCACACAGTTTATGACTGTACCCAACCCTGCCCTTTTGTTGTGTATCTTGTGCTTTTCAGGTTCTGATCCAGGACTCAGCTTCTGCTCGCATTCTGGTCCTGGGCTGCAGAGTAAATGTGTGGACTGTGGCACTAAGATCCGCAACTCCCAAAGAGTCAGCAGTGAAGGACCACTGAAAAGTGAGACCACTAGGTGGACTGAAGAAGAGGGGAATGGGGACAGGAGCTGTTTCCAGGCAACGCACAATATTCTAACCTTTTATTTTTAGAATTTCATTATAGATATGACACTGCAGGGCAGAATTACTTAAATCATAATGGAAGAGATGCCTTTGCTCAGTCCCACTTTTTACATGAAAATAAAAAATCTTCATCTTGTAAGCACATCTCCTGTATGGTCCCATTTATGTCAACTACCTAATCTCCCAGGCCTGGGAAACCATGTGGCATGGCCCCCTCTAGTCTGCTGCCCAGGTCTCCTGCACTCACTTGACACTTCCAAATTCAGCTCTGCATGTGGGTGGTAAGAGGATGAGTGGGGCTGGGAGCTAGGAAATGCCTGGGATAAAGTCATTAAGGGCTGCACCAGTGCAAGTCAGATGTGAATCATGAATGCATGATTACCACCATTACTATATTCAGTGTGTCCAGAGCCTTAAAAACATCCCTATAAAAGGTTAGCATGTAGAGAAACAAACTGTTTATACTCCTTAGATACTATATTGTTGATTTACAATGTGAAAATTTGTTATCTTTGAAAACAATTAAAAAAGCACATTTATTTACAAAGATGACTAAAGACCTTCCAATTGAAAGGAATTCAGACCCAAGTAAGGAAATCTCAAAGCAAATGTGGTAAGTACTGGAAGCAAGGCCAGAGGGCACCGTGGGGACATGGAAAGACAGTCTCCTTCCACTCCAGTAGACAGCCGCACCCGCTTCCAGGCACATCTTTTCCTTCACCCCTTTACAACTCTTCCTCTCTGGGGACCAGCACCAGGCAAAACGGCTCGTCTTGTACAAGTGCCAATGCCTAAGACCAAAGAAAGCAACTGACCTAACTGACCCCAGCTGTGCCTCCCTGCTCACTCTTAGCTGCCAAATCCTCCAATCTGATATACTCTTCCAAAATGACAGTAATGAGGACTACAGAAGCCACAGGCCAGATTTCTTTACTATCTTCTTGGCCTTTGGGCCTCCTCCTCCTCTTCTTCCTCTCTTTCCCCCCTCACTTTCCTTCCTCACCTCCTCCTCCCTCTTCTGTGATGTTGTCGAGGGAACCTGGAGCTCTACCACTGAACTACATCCTAGCCCTGGACCAGTTCTTCTCATATGCATATAAGGAATGCCATGGATTCACTGAAGTGTGATCTTGAACTCTTTTAGTAAACACATAGTGGCTAAGAGGACAGACATCACAGGGAGGCAGCTTTCCTTCAGTCCTGGAAAAGAACCTTTAGTAAGTGGAGCGGATGGAAATGACTACTGGTGCCTCCTCTGAGAGACAATGTAATCTGTCCAGTGTCCATCAGCAGACGGGTCTAGAACTGAACTCCACGACTGTGCTCATTTCTGAGTTTGAATTTCTGTTTCCGATAAAATCCGGAGCTCCATTTTGAGATAACTGAAGAATTAAGATTGAGCTCATTAGCATCTGTGTTCACAACCTAAGACTACATGGGCAGGATGCCTAAATCTATACCTTTTGACTTCCATCCTATCTGTCATGTCTGAGGGACGCTCTTTGCTGATTTTCTTTGTTCAGCGGGACCCTCTGCAGGGAGCAAAGCCTGGCTACAAGACACCAGTAACTAAGACAGGAGTTCTAGAGAGAAATGAGGAGGAGGAGGAGGAAGAGGAAGGGGAAGGGAGGTCCAGCAACATAGTAGTTAACTTTCTCAGGGCTAGCACAGAATTCTCTACAGAAACAACTTGAGAAAGGATTTGTTGGGCTAAAAGAGTCCCTCGCAGTGGAGAACGCACGGTGGTGGTAGTGGGAGGTGGCTGGTTATATCACTTTGACAGTCAGAAAACAGCACTGGCTGGAAGCAGAGCAAGCCTATGGCCCAGAACATATGCCCCCCAGTGAATCGACTTCCTACAGCTAAGTCCTACCTCCTAAAGGTTCTCCAATTCCCAGAATGGTGCCATCAGCTGGGGACCAAGTGTTCAAATGCACGAGCCTGTGGGGGTCATTTCACATTCACACGGTAACAGTGTGGCCCGTTCAGGTCCCTCATGTATCTCCTTTCTCTGGCTCTCTTCCTTAGTTCCCATTGGTGACTGGGTATATATTTTTTTGCCATTTAGTTTCTCTTCTGGAATTGTCTCAATAACAAAATTGTTAGTTTCTGACTCCTAAAATCTTTGCTCCTATTGTTGGAGAAGAGTTTAGGCATCACTTGGGTTTTACCTCTTGGAAGCTACAAGAAATAAGGTGATAGGTATTAGATGAAATAAGGTGAGCCCACAGAAGTTGAAAAAACATGCCCAGGTCACATGGTGAGCATCCAAGGAATCTAAATACCCGGTCTCTTATTAGCTAACAAAACTTTTTAGTAATTTAGGTTTTCTGAGACAGGGTCATCTTACCCAGGCTGGTCTTGGGCTTGTGACAACCCTTTTGCCTCAGTCTCCCAGGTGCTGGGATTATGGATGTGATCATTTAGAGTTTTATGCCAAAGTTTCATGTTGAGCATTATGGTTTCTATCCCAGTAGTCAAGAGGCTGAGGCAACAGAATTGCTGTGAGTTCAAGGCCTGCCTGGCCTACAATGTGTGACTATCTCAAAAAAAACCAAAACAAAAATAGGGCAAGTGAGATGACTCAACAGGTACAAGTGCTTCCTGCTAAATCAGATAGATACCCTGTTTGGTCCCTGTCACTCACATGGTAGGAGAACCAAATCCTGCAAGTTGTCCTCTGACCTATTCTCTCTCTTTCTCTCTCCCCAATCAATGTAATAAAAATTTAAAAACAAATGTTAAAGTTGAATTTCTTTTCACAAATTCAGAATTCTTGAAAGAAAATTTTTTGTTTTCTGTGTTCTCCAACTACTTATATTTGTTAAAATTTTATAAACTATTTTATCCATATTGCAAAGTTTGGGAAATGGTACGTCCCCACCACTTGGAGATTTTCTGTTGTTGTATTTATTTTTTTGTTGAGACAGGATCTTACTATGTATCCCTGGCCTGGAACTTGGTATGTAGGCCAGGTTGGCCTTGAACTCACAGAGAGATCCATGGAAGCCATTTTTGATAACTCTGAATTTAATCACAGCTAACATTTTTCAGCTTGTTCAGAATCCTTTCAAGATGCAAGTGATTCTACCACTGGAAAGTAAGTATTTTATTATTACTAGTAACCAAATTAGAACTGGGTGTGGCGGCTCACACCTGTAAGCCTCACTTGACCTGAGGTAAGAGAATTGCCAAAAGTTTAAGGCTAGTCTGGGCTACATGATGAATTTGAGGCAAACCTGGGGTACAGAGGTGATATCATCTCAAAAAACCAAAACCACCACTGCCACCACCACTACCCATTCCCCACCTCCCCCAAATCAAGTATCATTGTTTAGATGCATACAAAGTATCTTAACTACCTAGTCAAGATTACCTGTTCTAAACTGTAAGTGAGATTCAAACCTAAACCCTAGGAGTACTTCGATCATTTTATTCCGTCAACCAATGCTCAATGTCAAATGCAGGGCACTGTGCTAAAGTGCTGAGGATGCAAGTCAGTGATGGTCTCTGCCTTTGAGCTTGCTTTTTTTGTTTGTTTTGTTGAAAAAGGGTCTCATTATGTAACACTGGTTGGCCTGGAACTCACTATGTAGGCCAAGCTGGACTTGAAGTCACAGAGATCCTCCTGCCTCTGCCTCCCCAGTGGTGGGATTAAAGCTGGCCTGGGCCTGCTTCTTTGAGAGGAGGTGTAAGTGCTGGAAGGGAACACATAGAGTGCTACTGACCTAATCTGGGGTTTGGGGAAGCTGAGCTCAAAGGATAGATATGAATGAATGATCAGAGAGATGTCAGGATAGATGTGAAGAACATTCTGGTCTAGGGTCTTTTGAAGAGAGAAGGCCTTTGGCAAGTTCAGGAACTAGTCAGTGTGTCAGGAGCCCAAGAGGGCCTGATGAGGCCGGTAATGACAGGCTGGAGGGCAGGCAGGGCCTGCACAACTACAGCAAGGACTTCAGACTCTTCAACAATGTAGAGAATTCTAAAACATCACAGTAGAAGTCTGGCATTGTGGCTCCCACCTGGAATCCCAGCATTCAGAAGGCTGATGTAGGAAGTCAAGTTCCAGCCAGCCCGCCAACATAGTAAGTTCCTAGCCAGTTGTCTCAAAAACAAACAAAACAAAACAAAAAACAAAACAAAAAAAAAAAAAACCCCAAAAAACCTAAGCAAAAGGATCGTTATAGCTACTGAGGGAAGAACAGTAGGTTAGAAGAGGCCAAATTAGATGCTAATGCCACAATTCAATGGGATCGTGGCAGCCTGACTAAGGGTGGTAGGGTTAGAAAGAAGACTGTATTTAACAGCTATTTACAAGGCAGAACCAACGGCAAGGCAGAGTGGCTAATGGTTCTGCAACCAGATGAGTTCAAGTCTGAACGTACTACTTAGAAGAGAGTAATGGTTTAAAAGTCATCTTTGGAGCCAGGCATGGTAGTGCTCACCTCAAGTGCAGCTGGGGAGGCTGAGGCAAGAGGACTGTTTGAGACAAACGGGGCTACAAAGCAAGTACCAGGTCAGCCAGGGCTACACAGCAAGACCCTGCCTCAAAACCCCCCAAAATAAAAATGAACAAAATTGTCAAAATAAGAACAAAAACAAGGAGCTGGAGAGATGGCTCAGTGGTTAAGAGCACTTGGGAGTTTGATTCCCAACACCTACATTAGGTAGCATAAAACAGCCTCAAACTCCTGTTCTGGGGCCGCCTTCTAGCTTCTGAGGGCACCTGCACATACGGCATACATTTACACGCATACACACACACACACACACACACACACACACACACACACACAGATCCCACAAATCCTTAAAAAACTAAGAACCAACAAAAGAATGTAGTCTTTGGGGACTTCATCATGGTCCTGTCCTTGGAAGAGTTAATTTACCTCCCTGAACCTCCACTTTCCTATGTGTAAAATGGGAATAATAATAGGTCCAGATTCACTGAGAACTTTGTCACTACATAAGAATCACTGAGAATGGTACAACATGTTACAGGGCAAAACCGAACCCAAACAAGAACACAGCAAAGTGGGATGGGGACTTGGTGGGAAGAAGAGAGGGAGCGTTGTTGGGGATAGGAGGACAGTGGAAGGATGTGTGTGTGTGACCAGAATGTGTTATTCACATGTATGAAGTTGTCAAAAAAAATTTTTTTTAAAGCTTAAAACAAAACTATTCAGCAAGCGATGGCTGGGAATACTGTTCATGTGAGGACTGATTTGATACAGGCAGCGCACTCCCAGGGCCCTACTCTTCCCACTGCATCACACTGCCATTTCCTGCCCGATGGTTTTCAGGGGTTCCTGATGCCAAATGCCTGCAAGATGGCTCCAATGTGTAAGTGAATAGAACCAATTAACATGAATATGGTAGGGACAGAGGGATGAAAAGAGGTTCTGAGGTCACATGTATTTAATGATAGCACAAACATGTTTAAGTACTGAAGTAATGCCTAGCAGAGGGACCACACGAGGGACCTCCACAACCCCTATCAACAGGCATGTTCTGTGGTAGCCCCACCCTTGACACAGATTGGGCGAATAGGCCCCTTGGAGCTATGCAGAAGACAACCTAAACACCACAGTGGCCTGGCACCACATTCATCCTGTGCAGATTTAGAACTGTCTCTCAGAGACAGGGCTGTGGGTGTAACACAGTAGTGTAGGGAGCCTTTTGGCTTAAAGAGATACTGCTTGGGCCACCTTACTGTGCATAAAATGAACTCAACCCAACCCAAGGTATCTATGATTGGCAGGGTGTGTGTGTGTGTGTGTGTGTGTGTGTGTGTGTGTGTGTGTGTTATATAAACATGCAGGAGAGGGGGCGGGCAATTGCAGGGTAGAAGGTGGGCCCAAAAGAATGAAAAGTGAGGAAGAGTCTCTTTGCTTGGCTCTTTCTGTTTTGAAGGGAGGGGTGGGGAAGAGGCCAGATCTGGGAGAATGTGCCCTTACTGGTTGTGGGACCAGCCTTTTCCTGAAGCTCAGCTGTGGTTAGCCCCACCAAAGCCGGAGTGCTATGACAGGCACACACACACACACACACACACACACACACACACACACACACACAGCTACCACTGAGCCAAGCTGGCCTGACCAGGAGAGCGTGCATGAAGGTAGTGCCTTAAACACTTTCCAACATGCTTTTGCCTTGCAGAAAAAACTGTAGGACTGTGCTGACCCAGAGCTCAGACCCTGCAACACCCTCATCCCACTTCCACTTCTACAGAATTTCTGGGATCAAATCCTCACGTGACTGTATTAGCACAGAAGAAACAGAATCTAAGGTGAGGACTGAACAAATCCTCTGCTCTAAATGACCACAGAACTGCTAGTTTTTAAACCATTATAGTATGGGGTTTCAGAAAATGCTCTGCTAAAAACAGTTTTTGCTCAGTGCTAACCTAAAGACAGCCATATGGTTTACATCATACCTAAACTGGATCCAAAGGCAACTTCCTGCAGAAAGCATCTGGTGGGTGGTGTCTTGGCTGCAGGACTCCCCTGGCCAGGCCTGAAGGCCTGCAGTCTTTTCCAGTGACGTGGTTAGGACTGCCAGCAGTTTCCTAGATTTAAGTTGGCAGCTCTAACCTGGAGGTAACTTTCAGACATCTCCACATGCATGCATGTATGGTATCCCTGTGTACCCTCTCTCAGTGGTTATAACCCTTGAGTCCCCTGGTTCCCCCTCCCCCCACCTGCCCCACTCTGCAGCAGGGAAACAGTCCAGCATTATTGACCTCATGCTCTGATTCATGCTCATTACTCACGTGCTGATCTTTTCTCTCCCTTCCCTTGACAAATATATTCCATCTCAGACTGGTTTCCTAGGAAACCAAACCTCAAAAACAGAAATAAACTGTAGGAAATGGAATGCTCCAAAAGTTCCATCTTGTAATATTTAACGACAGAACCCAATTATCAGAAACATTAGTAAGTTTATATAACCAAAATATGTGCACTTTTCCTCCATAGATTTTAAACTCGGCTCTGGATCATGCCCTAAGGACAGCAACCATGTTGAAAAAAATGACCGACCAAATGATTAAAGCTATTGCAGAAGATCTTGCCAAAGCACAGAGATGGAGGAGCCGAGTGACATACTAGTTCAATTCAAGGCAACCAAGGGTTAAGAAGAAAAATATGTAAGAAAATTTGATCCTCCTCTCCAAAGTATTTTACTTATGTAGGAAGAGGATTTTCCAGAGAAAATACTACAATTACATAACACAAGTAGCTCAAAGTGCTTAAATGAAAAGAAAAAATAAATGATTCTAAAACCAGAAGTCACCAAGTATTTATATGAAAATAAATCTATGTCCTTCCTAATTCATAATAAAATAAAAAGAAAACAAAAAACAACAGCTTTTAACTATTAGTCTGTAAAAAAATAAAGCTCTTTCAAACTGCCAGTGAAGATGGAAAGCAAGCCTCCACATGTGGTAGTGCAAGTGTAGACACATAAAACGTTTTGCAAGGCAATATGATAGCATTCCTCAACTTATGATGGCTTACATCTGATAAACCCATAGTAGACTCAAAGTATATTAATTCAAAAATGCACAGAATACCTGAATGTACTTTGAACACCATGGCTTAGCAACATGCACAATGTAAAATAGCCGTTGTTTCCCCCTATGTCTGGGAGCTGCAGTTGGCTGCCACTGTCCAGGATCAGAGTATTGCACTGCCTTATCATTAGCCTGGGAAAAGACGCCAAGTCTAAGTGCTGGTGAGATGGCTCAACAGGTAGAGGCACTTATCAAGCCTGACAGCCTGAGTCTGATCTCTGAGACCCACATCGTGGAAGGAAAGAACTGACTCCCACAAGTTATACTTGGATCTCCATATGCTTGCAAGGATGTGTGCATGTACCTGCATGTGCACATACATACACACACAACAAATAAAATTTAAAACTCCAAATTAGAAATACAGTTTATACTGAATACATATCAATTTTATATGGTCATTAAGTTTAGAAAATCAGAGTTCAACCATTGCCAAGTTGGGGACTGTCTATAGCTACCAAATTCTATAAATTCCCAAAGCACTTATCTGACAAGCAATTCCACTGCTAGGAATTTATAGACAACTCACATTTGAGTTCCAAGTCAGCTGGGACTACAGGGAGACCCTGTCACAAAACAAATCAACAAAAACAAAACACAACAACAAAAATGATATAGGAGGCCAATTTTGTACTGAGGTCCTATATTAGGCTCTAAATCAGGAAGAAACCACTTACACTAAGTGCTAAGTAGTCAAACGAACTTTAAAATGGGCCAGTTTTTTTTTTTTTTTTTTTTTTTTTTTTAAGAACAAAACAGAAAACCCCAGGAGATTCACAGTAACCAGTGAGAAGAGGTCCAGTCAACATGTGCTAGTGTGAAATGTACCCTTGGCCTTACCCTCAGCAAGAAAAGTCACCTTGAAAACACCAACTGCTTTTTGTTCCTTGCTTTCTGCCTGTAAAAGCTCACTTGTTCCACTAAGGTTTTCTATGCTTTTAATGCTACCCAATTCATGATGCACCAAGAGCCAATCAGATCATCCAATTTGTTGAAAAGTGTTTTGATAGTTCTAGGAAGCTTCTATTATCTACTTTTCCATAGCTGTGAACACAACACTTGACAGAAGCAGCTTAAGTGAAGGAAGATTTACTTTGGTTCAGGGTTTCAGAGGCTTTTAGTCCATCACAGCTGGGAGGGTATGGTAGGTCAGCTCATGATGCGAGGAGTGTGGCTGTGGCTGCTCATGTCATGGTGGACCAGGAAGCAGAGTGCACCACAGGCACTGGGGCCAAAGATTACCTTCAAAGGCCCACTCCTAGTGACCAACTTCTTCAAGGCTGGCCTCACCTCTTACAGATTCTACAGCTTCCCAAAATGGGACCCCCCAGCTGGGGAACAACTTTGGGGACATTTCATATTGCAACTATAACAGGGGTAACACCCTTTAAAAGTTCTGGAAATGTAAATAAATAAATAAATAAATAAATAAACAGGGGCTCCTCAGTTAAGAGCACTGGCTGCTTTTGCAGAGAAACTGGGTTCAGTTCCCAGCACCCACATGGCAGCTAACAACTGTCTGTAATCTAGTTCTAGAGGACCTGATGCCCTTGCCTGACCTCTGCAGGCAGTGCATGACAAGGATACACTTATATACATGCAGGCAAAACAGTTCTGGAAATACGCTAGGCTCTGATGTAAAGATACTTGCTAATTCTGTAACCTAGGTTGTCCTCTCTCATGACATAACTAAATTTTGATAACCTGATAAACCATTTTGCATACCAAGTAAACTATCTCATCTTCAAGTTTAAAATAAAAAACTTATGGGCTGGCAAGATGACTCACTGAGTAAAGGCATTTGCTGCTAAGCCTGACAACCTAAGTTTGATCCCTGGACCCTACATGATAGAAGGAGAAAGCTGACTCCCACAAGTTGTTCTCTGATCTCCTTCATACTCCTTATCCCCATCTGTTACACACACAACAAATAACACATAAATGGAATTTAAAATTGCACATTTCCCTGGCTTGGTTAAAATGTTCTTACACAGGGGCTGGAGAGATGGCTCAGTGGTTAAGAGCACTGGTTGCTCTTCCAGAGGACTTGGGTTTCGTTCCCAGCAACCACAAGGTGGCTAATAACCATCTATAAATCCATATCCAGGGGATTCAACACCTTCTTCTGGCCTGCACGGGCACTGCAGGCACACAGTACGTTTACATTCATGCCGGCAAAGCACTCATACACATAAAAGTAAATGTTTAAAAATTCAAAAGAAATGTACATAACTCATCAGTTTTTAGTCCGTTTTGGGTTCATCTCTCTTTGAGAACTCAATGAGTTATAGAATCTCTCTTCTGTCATGCTCTGCCTTCCCACAGAAAAGGGATATATGCATTTACACAATTCTGCACACAATTTTTAAACGTTCATGAAACCTTGAAACAAGTCCATGGAATTCTAGTTCCTGAAAAAGGAATCATTTTTAAAATTTAAAACATGTCCCATCTTGGTCTTATTAAACCATATTCTAAATGCAATTCTAAATTTCCTTGATGACTGCGGATCATTATGAGCAATTACTGCAGCACAGTTAATCCAAGAAATAAAGAATGGGGTAATGCCCTTATAAAAGAGTTCTGGAAAAGTGCCAGGCTGATTTACAAGGATGCTTATTCATTCTGTGACCTGGGCTGTCTCCTCTTTCAGGCATGTTCTTATAGACCTTTCATCTAATTCAGTTCCACTAGCAAACCAGAAAAAACAGCTTGTTACATAAGACTGTGTCTCTAATGCTGTGAGGCAAGGGGGTCTGCATGGCCTGAGGGCAGCAGTGCTATGATCCGCTTGTCAGTCTCCACAGTGTGGGGGGCCTCTGGGTGCTTCCTCCACTGAGAGGCTGCACCATAGCTGCAACAGAATGAAAGGCGGTTAGAGAAAAAGTTCAGTGCTCTTTATTAAAAAGTTCTGGTCCTTAGTAAAGTCTTAGATTATACTAAAGAAAACATCTTTTTTCAATCACTCTTCTAATGTAATCTTAATGAATTCTTTAAGAGGACCCTAATCAAATTAACATGAATATACTTATCTACATTTAGTATCCAAAGCAAGTATTTCAGTATAATTTTACGGAGAGGAAGACATTTCTTGTTTCTTTGATTTTGTAATTTTAAAAAATGTATTTATTTTTATTTTATGTGTATGAGTGTTTTGCCCGCAAGAGCACCACATGCATGCAATGCCCAAGGATACCAGAAGAGGGCACCAGATCCCTGGAACTGGAATTATGGACAGTTGTTAGCCACCATGTAGGTGTTGGGAACTGAATCTGGGTCCTCTGCAAGAACAGTCAGTGCTCTTAACTGCTCAGCCATCTCTCTAGCCCCCCAGATTTCATAATTTAAAAAATTACATTTATTTACTTTGTATACACACAAACACACACACACAAACACACATGCATGTGTGCCACAAAGCACAGAGGTGAACTGGTTGTCTCCATTCACCTTATGGGTTGTTAGGCTTGGTGGTATAAGAAACATTTAATATTAGTATTTTCTTTCAAACCCTGTAAAACTTACAGATGGTTACAGATGGTTGTTAGCCACCATGTAGGTGCTGGGAACTGAACCCAGGTCCTCTGCAAGAGCAGTCAGTGCTCTTAACCACTGAGCCATCTCTCCAGTTCCCTTTTCTTATTTGCTAATATAGCTGAAGAATGTGACCCCACTGTGCTTTACAAATCAAGTTCATATTTCTGCTTCAGAGAGGGCAAATACATTATTTTAGTTAGTTCTAGCAACAAAAAAAATTGTTTTCACAATCTGGATATTGGAAAATATATGCTAACATTCTGGAAAAAAATCAGCTTATATTAAGAATTTATGAGATGACCTTGTATTCAAATTTACTAAGCGATAAACAAAGCATCTTTCCAATTCTATACTTTATATATATGAAATAGGGGTTTGAGATGTACCTCAGTTGGTAGAGTACCTGCCTAGCATTCACAAAGCCATGGGTTTGATTCACAGTACCACATACAACCAGGAGTGGTGGAGCATGCCTGTAACTCCAGCAGTAGGGAGGTGAAGGTGGGAGGACCAGAAGAAGTTCAAGGATATTTCCATAGAGGGAGTTGTTGTCAGCCTGGGATACAAGAAACCTTGACTCAAAAAAAAAAAAAAGATCTGAAATTAGTATGACAGGGGCATTCAAAAACCTCATATAGAACGCAGACACCTAAAAATCAATCCTTCCCCTAGAGAGGTACTATTCTCACAACTGATACAGGATGCAGAGAGCTATGGATGGATGCTAAACATTTCCTCTCAGTATGCACAGCCATATCAAGTTACACAAACCTCTTTGTGTCTCAGCTTCCTGAACTTCAAACTGGAGATGATAAAGATACTATAGAACTAAATGGGTTAACTTAAGCATTTAAAAATGATGCCTCCCAAAGCTGGGTGTGATGCTGCATGCCTTTAAACCCAGCACAGACAGGTGGATCTCTGGGAGGCAGAAGCAGTTGAGGCCAGCTTGGGCTACATAGCAAGTTCCAGACCACCCAGTGGTACATAGTAAGACTCCGTCTCAAAAAATAAAAACAAGGTTTACATTAAAATCTATTAAAAAATAGAAAAGATCCAATCCACAATCAAATAGTTAATAAGATATTTTGACAATATGTAGTACCTACATAAAATATTCTGGGGGATGTAGAGATGGCCCAGGAGTTAACAGCAACGATTGCTCTTGCAGAGGACCTGCGTTTGGTTCTCAGCACCCACATAGGGACTAACAACTGTTTATAATGCCAGTTCCAAGGGCTCTGACACCCTCTTGTGGCTTCCATGGGTGTACTTACATGCATGCAGGCAAAACACTCATACACATTAAAAAAAAAAAAATCAAAATATTCTAAAGAAAAAATTTTGAAGGTTATAAAGATTAGACACAGACATTCCATGTTCCAGGATATCATTTCAAGATTCTATCATTTTTTCCCTCTGAATTAACCTATAAATTTAAAGAAAATATCAAATCACCTCTTTTAGAAACTCAACAAAATGATACTCACATCATCTTAAAAAGCCTAGTGGCCAGAAAATTTCTGAAAAATGTAATTTAAGGAACTGGAGAGATGCCTCCTGTCTACACAGCCATAGATGAGCCTCTGCCTCCTGCCTGTCTTCCAAATCTTGATCCAATGCCTATTTCTAACAGAATACTACTTACTTCAAAGTCTGTAAGCTTCACTTCTAGTTTTTCATCTCTGGTGGTATGGTGTGGGGAGGCATGGGATATAATGCCAACCACTAGAGGACAGTATCTTTAATTTTTTAAAAGATTTATTTTATTATATTATTATTATTATTTTGGTCTTTTTGAGACAGGGTCTCCCTGTAGCCACAGCTGGCTTGGAACTCACTATGGAGACCAGGCTGGCCTTGATCTCATAGCGATCCACCTGCCTCTGCCTCCCAGGTACTGGGATTAAAGGCATGCATCATCATGCATAGCTTAAGATTTATTTTTAAATTGTGTGTACTTATTTGTGTTTGTGCATAGATATGTGCACATGAGTGCAGGTGCCTGAGGAGGCCAGTAGAGGGTGTCGGATTCTTGGAAGCTGGAATTATAGGTGGTTGTGACTCACCAGATGTGGATGCTGGGAAGTGAACTAGGGTGCTCTTTAGGAACAGGACACACTTTTTGTTTGTTTGTTTGAAAAAGGGTCTTACTCTATAACCCAAGCTGACTTCAAACTCATACAGATCTGCCTCCTGAGTACTGGGGTTAAATGCATGTGCCACAATGCCCCACTGGCCCCACTAGAGTTCACACCCTTAACCACTAAGCCATCTGTCCAGCCCTTAGGAGACAATATCTAACACATATTCACTTGTACATTAATATCAATTCCAGATGGATGAAAGATAATTGTAAAAAAATCAAAATTATCCAGAATTTATAATTTATAAATTTATAATCTTATGTGAATTTATAATCTTATGTGTAGCATGACTGCATGAAATTCTGAAGCCAAAAGGGAAAAGTGATGGGTCTACTTCCATAACAATTATAAAAGGAATGCTAGGATGTAGCTCAGTGGTAGAAAACATGGTTGAGGCCTGCATTCGATCTCCAGCATTGCCCAAAAGAAGTAATGATACCTACTTATATTTTATACACAAATCCTGTGACTAGTTATGACATTGGTAGGAATTTAAACTATGGAAATATTTGTGTAAGTTTTCAAAGGTATGCATTACTTTTGAAATACAAACATTTTATATTATAAGCATTACTTGTAAAAAACAAAACTCTGAACATGAACAACACATAAAATTATAACACTATGAGGCTGAGTGGAGATCTGGAATACAGATGTTCCCTTATGTAACAAACGCATCTACAGACCTGTTTTTATATTACCTAACCTCATACAGGTGATACATTGTTTCTGAAAGTCATTATCTTGGTGGGGATATTATGGTATCTCCTTTTTCTTCTTTCTGATTCTAATTTAGAGTCAGAAAAGAAAAACTCAGAAAAAATGTGTAACTATACATTTATTTTCTCTTAGAGTGTTCATGATTATTTTTGGTTTTCTAATAAGCATACATAATTTCAAACATAAAATTCTGTTCTTTAGAAGTATCTAGCAAGATAGTACACACTGTGAAATAATTCTATTAAGTGGAATTATTTTACACATAAAAGAAATCATGAATCTCAGTTGAAAGAACTGCACTTACAGGAAACAATTCTATCATATGCATTTACAGGTTTTTAAGTTTTATAACCTCTTCATTTAAAATCATTCTTTCCCCCAAACATTATACTTCAGCATAAGACAGATAAGTCTCTAATGAATAATTAGCATGTATATGGGTGCTATGAAAAATTACCTATAACATTAATATATTCTGCTCCAAAAGTAAAAAACTTTGTGATTAGGAAGCACTTTAATGTTCTATCAAGTATAAAGCAGCAGCAATATTTAAATTATTAGAAATGGCAAATTAAATAATACATAAAGTCCCTTAAGAAATGTATTTGAAAGGCATATTATTCCATAAAATATTTACATTGTTTAAATTATATGATAGTAACATTTTATTCTCTTTTAGTTGGATATATTAACAAAAACTTCTGAACAACAACAATAAAAAAGCTACTCATCCTTAAGAAAGGAAACTTTATCCTTTGATTTATTCAGCATCTTTATATCATCCAGCAGCTTTCTGGGTGTTAGGATATGTGTAGAACCTGGTAGAAGAAATGATGAATTTTCAGAGCCCAGCAGTTAAATCAATCTTCCGTGGCTTAAAATATTATCTTGTCCTTCAAATATATAAACCACTTGGGGCATTTTAACATTTCTATAGAACCTTTCTGAAACCTGCCTGTAGGACAATATGTCAATCCTTGTCACTAAGTGTGTTCAGTTACTCTTTAGAGACACTGCCCAGGACTAGGGTTTGATCTGCTTCATGCTATATTATAGTACACAGCAAAGAGCAGTTCTAGGCATTTTCTCTATTCTTATAATAGTGCTGTCACAGTTGTCATGCAGTAAACAGAGAATGTCTGAGTAGTGCGTGGATCAAGGTCTGTCATACAAATCCTGCAGCTCTGGGTTAGGAGAATTTACCTATCAGTGGCTTTGACTAGAAAAAAAAATTTTTTTTTTCTTTTTGAGACAGGGTCTCCCTATAGCCCCAACTGGCCTAGAACTCACTATGTAGACCAGGCTGGCCTCGAATTCAGAGATCCGCCTGCCTCTACCTCCCAAGAGCTGGGATTAGAGGCACACGCCCCTACACCCAGCAGAAAAAATTTTTTAAATTTACTTTTGTTTACTACTGTGTGTGTATGTGTACGTGTAGGCACATGTATGCCATGGCATGTATGTGGAGGTTGGAGGACAACTTCCTGGAATGCATTCTCTCCTTCCACTGTGGGTTCAGGGGACTGAACTCAGGTTGTCAGGCACAACTGTGTGGCAAGCAATTTATCCACTGCATACTCTTGCTGGCTGAGAATGAAAATTTTAAAACCCACTTCCACACAGACCTCACCAATGTCAGGTAAACATTCACAAAAACAAGTATTTCTGAAATAGAAATGTAGTAATGTGCCCAAAAAGTGTTTAATGATCAGCAAATAAAATCAAAAGACAGTTTTAAAGGAATAACATTACATCCCTAAAATCAGAATACTTAAAAATAATAAAAATATCAAGCAGAAAAAAAATCAGCAAGTATTATAAAACATTTTACAATTAATTTTTTTGCATTGAATAACACAGCCTTAAATGTTTTAAAGCAAGATAAAATATCATATGTATAATTTTGCCTTTAGAATTTAAGAAACAGAAAAGAAGAAAGTCTTACCAATAATAACCTCACAGGATTTATGTGCCTGAGAAACTTCATAAGCGCAACGCATTTCAGAGTATGTAATTCCTCCAATTACAAAAATAATCAGCTTTGACCCATTTTTCCGGTCCAGGTCTAAATAGTTAGTTCTGGGTTTCTGACGAGCACTAAAAAGGAAGAACAAAGCAAACACGTTACAAACATTTCCAATGCCATATTGTTGTGTAGACTCTTTAAAAAGCCTAACCCTGGGGCTAGAGAGATAGCTCAGCAGTTAAGAACACTGGTTGTTCTTGCAGAAGACCCGGGTTCGAATCCCAGCACCCACATGGTAGCTAACAACTGTCCGTAATTCCAGTTCCAGGGATCTGATGGCCTCTTCTGTCCTCCATGGGCACTGCACGACACGGGTGCACTTACCTACATGCAAGCAATACACTCATACAAAAAAAAAAAAAAAAAAAAAAAAAAAAGCCTAATCCTAATCCTAGCTTGGTGTGGTGAAGCACTCCTTTGATCCCAGCAGAAGTGAGTGAATCTCTGTGATATCAAGTCCTACAAGTCCTACACAGTGAGTTCCTGCTCCCAACCACAAAAAAATCAGACACAGAAACTGAAAAAGAACCACATGGCAAATGACATAGTTATGCCACATACTACAATCAGAAAGTAACCAGATGGGCTCAAGGGCAGACTTGCTATGTCCAAACAATCAGTGAACTGAAGGCAAACACGTATTATATATTTGAAGAACAGAGAGAAAAAAGATAAAAGTTAATAGAACTTAGGTAACCCACAGAACAATAGCAAACATTCAGAATTTCAGAAAGAGGAAGGAGAAAGAAAGGGAATAGAAAAACAAAAAGAAACCTTGAAGAAACAACACTTGAAAAACCCTGTATTTGATGATTGATATAAAAAACTCAACAAATCCCTAGGTAGAATAAATATAGAGAACGCCACATCACATCACACCACATCACATCACATCACATCACAACACAACACAACACAACACAACACAACACAACATAACATAACATAGCATAACATAGTTAAGCCAACAGAGCCAAACATCAAGAGAAAAATCCTACATGGACCAATGGGATTGTTCAATGGATAAAGGCCTGATGACCTGAGTTCAATTCCTGGGACCCACACTGTGGAGGGAGAGAACTGACCCCAGAAGTTCTCTTCTGACCTCCACATACATGCTGTAGCATTTGTACATCTACACACAGAATTAAAAAAAAAAAATCCTATAAAACCTACTCAAAACATTATTTAGGATCCAAATTACAGTTAGAAAAAGCAAAAGACATATAAGTGAATGATAAAACATGAAATTTAGATTATAAGAAAGGGAGAATAAAAATCAGAGAATGATATACAGGAAGCTGGAATTGTATTTATAATGATTTGCTAAACTGGGTACTGATGGTAGAGTATGCATTATAACATTTTGTCTTCCTGAATGTTTCAAATATTTTAAAAGGATTAATCAAGTCAGGTATGATGACTCACAAGAAAGATTACCAGTCTAGATTAAGTAGTGAAATCCTGCCCCAAAGAAAAAAAAACAAAATAAGAAAACAAAACAAAACAGAAGGAGGCAGGGAGGGAGTTAAACTCTATGCTATGTAAAGAAAGTATTTTGTATAATAAAGCATGTTTTCATTTTGCTTTCCTAAATTAATTTAAGTTACGATTAAAGAAAAGCAACCTTTTATGATAGTATGTGTTTAAAAAAGGGTAGGTGTGTAATGTTCTCAATCATTAGTCTGCAGTATAATAATAATGAAAATTTCATTGACTTTTTTATAGGCTTACCTTACAGCTCCAGAGCCATTCCACACTGCCGGACACTGGGAACAATATGGCCATTCTTTTGAATCTAATCTATTATCGATGGCATCCTAGAGAAGAGTTAACACCATAAGGAAAATGTAATTTCAAGACTTCTGTTTTGCATGCAGGTCTAATGAACATTAAAGATAGATAAATATTTACTAAGATTAGAACTTTCTTTGAAACCCATAAATCTTACTTGCAGTAAAAAATTAATGTACTAATATTCTCACTTATTAACTCACTATGTAATGTAGATCTACCTTTCTTCATTTGGAGGGTCCTGTACTGGATGAGGACCTTTTAGCTCCCGGGATGCATTTCTAAATAGCATCCTAGGACACTACCCTTCATAGCTGTGGCTGCACAGGATGCACACACCTGGCCCTGAGACACTGAAGACAATCCAGTGAGTGAGGAAAGTTTGCCTTTTCACTTTATACTTGAAAACTCTCCCTTTCTTTAGTGCTACATTTTATGATATACTTATTACAGATATACTGTATACAGATTATGGAAGTTTTATTAATACATTAATATGTAATTTGTCAGTAAATAGGTTCATGATATTTTTTTAATTGTCAGAGTCTTATAAGACTAAAAAAACTGCTTTATGGATGATAGTTTAAAAGGTACTGAAAACTAGGCATAGGGAGCACAAAGTAGTCAAAGAATACCTTAATAAACTGCAAGAAAGGAAGAATTCATGAAAAGTCATTTTTTTTCAAGATTTATTTGTTTTTATGTGTATGGGCCTGTATGAGTAAATGTGCACCCCATGTGTGCAGGAGCCTGCAGAGGCCATAGAGGGAGTCAGATCTTCTGGAATTGGAGTCACAGGTAGTCATGAGATGCCAATATTTCCAACCACGCATGCTGGGAACCAAACATGGATACAAGAACAACAAGTATTCTTAATCACTGAGCCATCTCTCTAGCTCTAAGACATCATGTTTTAAGTTAAGAAAAATCCTAAAAGGCTAAACTAGTCACAGATTCATATGTGGTTCCTCGATTTTGCACGCAAACCCTTGTTAAAGAGGTTTAAATGGTCAATGTTTTTTTAAAGTACATATTTTTAATATTTTATTATTTTTATTTATTTGGTCTTTTTTGAGACAGGGTCTCCCTGTAGCCCTAGCTAAACTGGCACTCACTATGTAGACCAGAATGGCCTTGAACACACAGAGATCTGTCTGCCTCTGCCTCCCAAGTGCTGGGATTAAAGGCGTGCACTATCATACCCAGCAATATTTTATTATTTTTATTTTATGTGTATGAGTGTATTGCCTGCATGTAAGTGCATCCATGTACAATGCCTATGGAGGTCAGAAGAGGGCACTGGATACCTGGAACTGGAGTCACTGGTGGCTGTTAGCTGCCATGTGGGTTCTGGGATTTGAACCTGGGTCCCCTGCAAGAACAGCCACTGCTCTTAACCACTGAGCCATTTCTCTAGCCCCCTGATTTTTATTTTAAAAGTACTAGTTAAGAGCGAGCGGGGCACAAGCCTTTAGTCCCAGCTCTTGGGAGGCAGAGGTAGGTGGATCTCTGTGAGTTCAAGGCCAGCCTGGTCTACATAGTGAGTTCCAGGACAGCTGGGGCTACAGGGAGACCCTGTCTCAAAAAGACAAAAAACAAACAAACAAAAAAAAACAACAAAAAACCCCTACTAGTTAAGAGAAACTACTTCTGCATAATTTGTGTGTTTGTGTATGTAAAAACGAACTTAATTTGTAGGAAACAAAATCCAAGTTCTTTGTATTTTCCAGATATGCTCAAGTATTTGCAAATGATGAAAAATAGTTTTGCAAAACAGAAAAATAGTAATGTACTGTACATTAGTGCCCCCCAAAAGTAGATGAAATTGGAGTTCTAATTAGTCAAAAGTGCTAGATTATTTTACTGAGCTCCTAAGGCAACTTTAAAATTAGTTCATTTTATAATTTCTATAACTGAACTGAAAATAACTATTAATTTTTAAAAGCAAACAGTACTAAAGGCATTATTTACCTGCTTAATCTAACAGCAAACTATAGTGAGGTTTACATTTTAATCACATTCATTTTCCATGTAATATTTTTTAATAAAGGTATATTTGGAGGCTAGAGAGATGGATCAGAGGTTAAGAGCACTGACTGCTCTTGCAGAGGACGCAGGTTCAATTCTCAGCACCTACATGGCATCTAACAACCATCAGTAACTCCAGTTCCAGGAGAATTCAACATTCTCTTCTGACTTCAGTGGGCATTGCAAGACAGGGGTGCACTTATTTATACGAAGGCAATACACTCATACACATAAAATTTTTAAGAAGGATATATTTATGAATGTCATTTTGTTGAACTTTCATTCAAATGAATTTATGCTACATATATTTAAAAGAATAGCATTTCTCGGGGGCTGAAGAGATGGCTCAGCGGTTAAGAGCACTGACTGCTCTTGCAGAGGACCCGGGTTCGATTCCCAGCACCCACATGGCAGCTACGAACCATCCTTAACTCCAGTTCCAGGGGAATCCGATGACATTGCACAACACAGGTGCACTCAAATACATGCAGGCAATACGCTCATATACATAAAATAAAAATAATACATAAAATATTTAAAAAAGAACAGCATTTCTCATGAACTATGTGTGCACTTATTTTTATTTATTCATAGACAGTGGTGATTTTTTTCTGAAAACTTTAAGACTCAAAGTTTCTGTCTCTATGATCCTATATACAGCTTTCTTTTGTAAACTGTCCAAGTGCTTCAGAAAGTCCTAGATGCAAGATATACTTGTAATGACAGATAAGGAGGAAAGACTAATCTATAGAGGGGACTCAGATATAAACAGAAGGTTAAGAATTTTTACCTCCATAATATCTTTGATAAAAGGTGTCCATCGAGAAAGCTGAAAAGTCTCTTCTGCAGACCGATCTTTTCTTAATGGCTTGGCTTGTGAAGACTAATATAACAAGAGGAACAAATTAATACCAGTAATTTCATTCAGAAATATAATTTATTTACTAACAGAGATTTAATTACTAGCAAATCTATACTGTATTTAACTGTGACAGTGAAAGTACTTTTTAAAAAAAAAAATAACATCAGGGGCTGGAGAGATGGTTCAACAGTTAAAAGTACTGGCTGCTCCTGAAGAAGACCTCAATTTGATTCCCAGCACTCACATGGTAGCTAAAATCCATCTGTAACTCCAGTTCCAGGGGAATCAAATGTCCTCTTCTCACCTCCGTGGGCATTGCATGACATGGGTACACACACATACATGCAGGCAGTATACTCATACACATAAACAGAAATAATAGATAAAATAAACATCAGACTAGGTGGCTTCATGTAGTTTCACTGAACAGTATTTTGTGTTTTCAAGCTAAATTTCTAGGAGCCAGAAAAATGTTAATTTACATAAAAGTATTATAAAACTCAATGGAAAATAGTGATGTTCTAACTAGAATCCTTTCAAATTTGACTTTGAGCTGTTTTTATTTATTTTTTACTATTAGGTATTAAACCAAGGGCCTCAAGTACGCTAGGCAAGTGCTCTACCACTGAGTCTAAACTATTTTCAGAGAATTTAATTATTTTCTGTGCTGTATAAAAAGTTGAATATATAACTAAACCATAACTACTATAAATGAATCATAAAGAGAAAAGTACAACAGAAGTCAAAAAATACAAATTCACTAGAAATGTGTATTAATTCAAAGTACATATGAATATAAAAAAAAATTAGAGGGATGTTGCTCAGTTGACAGAGTGCTTGCCTAGCTTGTATGAAGCCTTGGGTCCATCCCCTAGCACTGCATAAAATGGGTGTGGTAGTGCACATTTGCAATCCTGCCATTTGTGAAGTGAAGACAGAAGGATCAGGAGTTCAGGTCATTGTTGGCTACATAGAGAGCTTGAGGCCAGTCTGAGCTACATGAGACCCTGATTCAGAGAAAAAAAAATTAATCGCTTATTTAATAATAAAAATTTATAGCATGAAGTTAAGGTGATCTGTAAGAACTTCCACATATAAAAGCAGTTAGTACACACACATGCACACACACACACACATGCATGCACGCATGCACGCACTGTAAAATTCCTCACCTGGGGAACAATGGGAACACCAAGGTAACACCAATTCCGAATCATATCACTGTCATCTTCTATCTTTACATTCTGGATCAGTCTGTCCAAATTTTCTTCTGTAGTTCCTTAGAAAAGCAAAAGCATGAGTGTAGTCAGATACACTGTATAAGAACTAAGCTTTTACAAAAGCAAACAATGCACTTAATCCACTTTGGTCTTCTCTTATTTTCCTAATTTCCTTGTATCAAACTACCTTTGAGTTTTCCAAGATTGCCTTATGATCAATAATAAACTACTTATTAAAAAATGACTTGGAGCCAGATGCAGTGGTACACACCTTTAGTTCCAGAACTTGGGAGGCAGAGGCAGGCAGATCTCTGCGAGTTCAAGGCCAGCCTGGTCTACATAGTGAGTTCCAGGCCAGTTGGGGCTACATGGAGACCCTGTCTCAAAAAGACCAAAAAAAAAAAAAAAAAGACTCAGACACAGGGCATTGTAGCACATGCCTTTAATCCCAGCCCTCTTGAAACAGAGGCAGGTAGATCTCTATGAGATCCATGTCACCCTTGTCCACACTGTGACTTCTAGGTGGGCTGGCACTTAGGGAGACCCTGCCAAAAAACAGAGAGAGAGAGAGAGAGAGAGAGAGAGAGAGAGAGAGAGAGAGATATGACTTGGAGACCAAGAAGATAGCTCAGGGGATAAAGGAACCTGCTACCAAACTCAGGCCTCCACTTACAGGCTATGGCAAACATGCAATGCTCTCCCCTACCATCCATCAAAGCATATAAATGAATGAAAGAAGGAAAGGAAAGGGGTAAGGGAGGGAGGGAGGGAGGGAGGGAGGGAGGGAAGGAAGGAAGGAAGGAAGGAAGGAAGGAAGGAAGGAAGGAAGGAAGGAAATTTCAAGTGATTTCAGAGCTAGTATTTTAATACATTTAAAACATAAGTGAAATCTCCATTACCATTAATACTGAAGATATACAGCAGAATTGCTCTGATTTTATCACAGTTATCATGGTTTTTGTTGAGTAGAACTGGAAGGAGTACAAGCATAGCATCTTTCACCTTCTGTCCTTCTGCATCAGTTCCAAGTGCCAGGTCCTTAATGAAAATAAAATCCAGACAGTGGTCTACAGTCCAAATTTACTTTTTTGTTGAAAGTATGTATTACTGGAACCAGGCCTGGTGGTACACACCTTTAATCCCAGCAGTTGGGAGGCAGAGGCAGGTGAATCTTTGTGTCTGGTCTACATTGGAAGTTCCAGGCCAGCTGGAGTGACAGGGAGACCCTGTCTCAAAAAATATTTTATTATATGAAGCACATGTTGAAATATTTTGGATATATTTGGTTAAGTCAAATATATCACAAAATTAATTCTACTTCTTACCTTTGTAATAATTAGTGGCTACTATAATAGTTAACACTATGTACAACTTGCATTCAATTTCTATTACTGTGATATTCTGAACGGTTTAGAAATTATAAAAAAACAAACCACACAAAACTTCTTAAAACAAGTGAAGTGTGCTTGTGCAGAGTTCTGCAGGATGGTATTTGTGCTGTACCCCCTGAGAAAGCCCTGAAATGGTGCTCCAAAAACTTAAAAGGACTCCACAATCAGAACTGCAACACCAGACAGGAAGGACTGAGGTAGCACATGCTACTGGTCAACGCTGGTGGGTGCTGTAGTTTGAATCTGGAATGTCCCCTAAAGGGGGCTATGTGAAAGGGCTTTGTCCCAGCATGGCTGGGAGATGGTAGAAACTAAGTAAGGCCTAGAGGGTCTTTGGGGGTGTGTCCTTAAAGGGGACAATGGAACTCCTGCCCCCTCCTCCCTTTCTTTCTTTTCTTTCTTGTCATGAGGTGAGCTCTTTTCTCTACCAGGCACTCTTGTTATGATGTGCTATAGGTCTAAAAGTAATGAAACCAACTGATCATAAAACTGTAAGCCTCACATCACCAAGAATGCCCCAGCATCAAAACAGAAACAACCAAGCGAAACTGTGAGTCAAAACAAACTTCTCTTCATAAGCTGATCATTTCAGGTATTTGTTTTAGTAACAGAAAGCTGACTAACAAATCAAGGAAATTAGGCAGCAAATACTGCAGAGATGGGTTCCCTTTTAAGAATCTGTGGTTTTGTGAAACTTAGCCACTCTACTGAGCAAAAAATTACATTTTAGCTTACAAAGTTGATTCTGTAAATCTATTATGAACATAGGTTATCTGCCTCTATACATACCTGTTCAGTTTTGCAGAGCTTTTCAATATTAAGCTTGAACTTACTCATGCAATCTTCTGCTAAGTTAAGATGGACAACTTGCTAAAAAGCAAGAAAATGATCATTTAAGGCATTTTAATTACTTTTTGTGTACCTGGTAATAAACTTTTAAGATGGGTCCAAATGAAAGTATGGGTTTAGGTGAAAGGAAATTAACATGTAACAATGGGAAACAGTTCAAGAAAGAGAACCAATGAGATCAATGGGGGTGATCAGCAGACAGTAAAACCAGAATGCAAGTGCTGCATTTGTGTGCAATCTGAAGAGGAAGGAAAACTTAGGTAAGAAAAAAAAAAATCCTAGAGTCCAATAATGAAAGATTCATTCTTGACTGGGCTACAACATCTTAAAATGTAAAAATATAGGGCTGGAGAGACAGATTGGCAGTTAAGAGCACTGGCTGCTCTTGTAGAGTGCCTGGGTCCAGTTCCCAGCACCAACATGGCTGCTAATAACTGCCTGTAACTCCAATTCCAGGGGATCTGACATTCCCTTCTGGCCTCTGAGGACATTGTACAACATAGGTGCACTTACATACAGTAGGCATAACACTCATATTACACATAAAATTAGATAAATAAAAATAAAGACATTTATAAGAAGGGCTGGGCTAAGCATGGCAGTCACACCTATAATCCCAGCAATCCTGAGGATGAAATAGGAAGATTACCACAAGTTTGAGGCCAGCCTGGGATACAGAGTGAGTCGTAGTTCAGCCTGGGCTAGAGTGAAACCTTGCCTCAAACCAAACTGACCCCTCAAATACTGAAGGAAGAAAGCGAGGGAAGGAAAAAATGGAAAGAAAGGAAAGGAGATATGTTAGTTTACATGAACACACACCTCAAATGCTCTGAAATCTAAATTGTAACTATTTTTTAAAATAATTTTTATTTTCTGTGTATAAGTGTATTGCCTGCATGGATGTGAGTGCACCCGTGTCGTGCAACGCCGCGGACATCAGAAGAGGGTGTTAGACTCCCCTGGAACTGGAGTCAAGGACAGTTCATAGCTGCCATGTAGGTGCTAGGATTCAAACCTGGGTCCTCTGCAAGAGCAGTCAGTGCTCTTAACCGCTGAGCCATCTCTCCAGCCCCCTAAATTGTAACTATTAACTTAGCTGGATTTGAATAAATACAGATGATACAGATAGAAAATTAGTAGGTGGTTTGGCTATATAGGATAGTTCCTAGAGCTACAGTAAAGGTTTGGAGGACAAATATCAACAAGTACTCTAGGGATCTTACTACTAAACTGAGCAATGAATTAAAAATATTGATATATATAATACTGCTTACCTTTGTAATCTGTTTACGGAAGTGGGGCATTTTTTTCATTAGCTGGGTAAGAGCACTAAGTGATGCCTAGAAAAAATCAAGATTCAAAAAAATTTTAAGCAAAAACATGATTTAATTATTCCACATTCTAACTTTTCAATCCTGAACTTTTAAGTATTATCAAACTTAATTTATTCAACATATGATAAATATTTTCAATATTTAAATTTTTTTTTTCTGTGTTGTTTTGCCTGCATGAGTGTCTAAGTGCACCCATTTGAGCAATGCCCACCGAGACCAGAAGAGGGCATTAGATTCCCTGGAATTGGAGTTACAGATGGTTGTTAGTCACCATTCTGGGAACCAAACCTGGGTCTCTGCAAGAGCAGCCACTGCTCTTAACCACTGAGCAATTTTTCTAGTCCCATGCACATTTTTTCAAGAGAATGACAGGAGGTTTCCAATTCAATAGCTGATTTCAAGATTACTCTTCTCATAAACAAAAACAAAACTGGACAAATAAAATAGTAGCTTTCAGGCAATGGAGAAAAACTAGCTTCAAGCAGGGAGAAGCAAAGAAAGTGATCCTTGAACTCATTCTATCTGTTTCCTGGGGATATTTGCCAAATCATGTTGAAAAGAAGTAGAGAACATTGTCTCTCCACCTAAAAAATAAAAAGATTCTGAGGCTGGAGAGCTGGCTCAGAGGTTAAGAGCACTGGCTACTCTTGCAGAGGACCCAGCACCTACATGGCAGCTAACAACTGCCCATAACTCCAGTTCCAGGGGAATCCAATGCCCTCTTCTGACCTCCACAGGTATTGCATGACACTTCCCATGCAAGCAATACACTCATATACATAAAATTAAAAAAAATTCCTTTGAGGCTGCCTAGGCAGGTTTCAGAGGCACAATTATATAGAGAAGGAAACCAGCCAGAACATAAAAATGTGTAGAGTAGTTGCCTTGAACCCCTGATCTGCACAAGTGCAGGGCCTAACACTCAAAAGCCTAGAATTCAAGTTGGTAATTAAGCACTAGTCAGAAATTTCAGAGTCCTAGTGCTAAGAACATGTTATCATTCTGTGATCCAAACAAAAGGACTTAAGTGAATACCCCAGACATTCAGTCCTAGGTCTTAGGATGAAGTGAAATGTGAAATACTCTCATTGAAGTCTCAATAGAAAGAAGAATTCTCCAGCAGTTGACTGCTTTGCAGAACAACACTGAACACATTTTGCAGAGAGCACAGCTAGGGGCCCTGCATATCAACAGTGTCTGTGAGACAAGTGAAAATTGATACATGAAATGGAAGTGACCAATATTTAAGTGATAAAATAGTAAGTTTCTAAGGATAATCTTCTGTGAGTCAGGATTCTCAATACAGAGACAAAGGCCCCAAGGGGATGGAGCCCAGAGGTATCAATCATTCAGAATACAGGGAATGAGGCTGTTGACACCTTTGATGACATAAACCTTTCAGAGTCCCTCTTACATGGCTTCAACAAACACTCTGCCTCCTAGCAGCAGCCAGCCTCTTAAAAAAAAATTACTGTGTGAGTGTGGGCACGCATATGCCGTGTGTGTGTGTGTGTGTGTGTGTGTGTGTGTGTGTGTGTGTGTGCACGCATGTGCGCGCACGGGTGACTGTATAGGTCAGAGGACAACTTTCAGGAGTCAGTTGTCTGTGGGATGTGGGAACTGAACTCAGATTTTCAGGCTTGTGTGGCAAGAGCTTTTACCTATGGAGCAACCTTATCATTATTCCTTATACTAAGGTTTATTATGTGATTGTTCAAGCTCATTCTGGAACTGGAAAAATGACCATATAGATTCTGTAACAGATTGAACTAGATCTAAAAGCATTGGTCCTGGTACTCACTTGAGAACTGGCTCATAAGACACAGAGGGTAGTCATAGGATTAGGACATTCTATGGGTACCTACTATTACGCTAGCCTGTGTGTGTGCTGAGGTGCAAAGCTGTAGATGGAAGCTCCCCATAGTATTGTGAGTACCCTTGAGTATATGTTATATGCTTAACCAGAGATACTGGTCAATTACATATAAAAACTAACCAACAACAAAGCCAGCAGGGTGACTCAGTGGGTAAAAGTACTTGCCATGAAAGTGACCTAAATTTGATCCCTGGATAAAGGTGAAAAGAGAGCCGATTCCACAAAAGTGTCCTTTGGCCTCTCCATGTGAATGCCATGGCATGCACATATCCACATCTACATAGCATACATATAATAATAATAAACAAAATAAAAATTTAAAACCTAGCCCATAATAGAGAAAAATTAACATAGCCAAAACCATATATTTGCAGTATTAGGGCTTGAATCCAAGGACTTGTTCATGTTAGGCAGGTACTCTACCACTAAGCTATATTCCCAAGCCCCTGGCTCTTTGAAATATAAAAGTATTAAATGTAGGGGTATTAATAATCATATAGGGTAAACAACTTAATAACATTAATAAACAGATTCTATACACACTGAAAGGATAAGAAAATATTTTAAAAAGTTAAGTGTAATAGACAAATTCTTTGAAAAATACAGTATCTCAAGTGTGACAAAGGAGCCAGCCTGGTCTATATGGTGGGTTCCAGGCCAGCTGGTGCTACAGGGAGACCCTGTCTCAAAAAGACCAAAAATCAGCAGTGACAAAACCTGAGGGGCGGCGACTTCTGCTACTTGTTTGGAACTCTTGAAATTCCTGGCATATATACACGTGTGTGTGTGTGTGTGTGTATATGTGTGTGTGTGAACATAAAATTATAACTAAAGATTTCAAGTAAATAATATTCTATGCCCCATGGTGAATTCAGCAATAATAGAACAATTCTTAAACAAACACTCCCAGAATAAAATGAGAGAGAGCACCACTGCTCATTTTATGAGACTAATATAATCTTTATATGAAAAATGGGTAAGAATGTTACAAAAATTATTACAGGGAAATATTCCTCATAAACAGGAAGTAAATGTCCTCCATGTTATTAGCAAGTAGAATTTGGCATCATTCAGGATAATGCATAATGACCAAGTGAAGTTTATTTTAAAAAGACACAATTGTGGGCTGGAGACCTGGCTCAGTGGTTAAGAGCACTGACTACTCCTGCAGAGGACCCAGGCTCAGTTCCCAGTACCCACATGGTAGCTAACAACAAACACCCTCCTCTGACTGCCAAAGGCATTGCATGGCACGAATGTACCTACCTACATGTAGGCAATATACTTATACACATAAAGTAAAAATAATAAATAAAATATATATTTTTAATGCTAGCAAACCAATATAATTCAATCCATTAACAGAATAAAGGAGAAAGAAATATAATATTGAAAAGGCAGTTGATGAAATCCAGCATTTTCTTAAAATGATACAAAAACAAGGCTAGGGTGTAGCTCAGTGGAAGACAGTTTGCCTAGCATGTATGAGATCCTAAATTTGATCCTCAGTAACACACACACATACACACACACACACACACACACACACACACACAGACTTATTGGCAAATTACGAATAAAAATGAAGTGCCTTAATCTTATCAGGGATGTGACTAAAATAATTTAAAGCTAGCATAATACTCTATGACTATGATGAAATATGAACATGTTTCCCCTAAGGATGAGACAAGACAAGGATGTTCACCATCACCAGTTCTATTTCACACTGTCATGTGGGGTTAGCCTGAGCCAGGAGATAGTAATTACTAAGAAAAATAGTTTAAAGTCTATAAAAGTTAACCTGAGAAGGAAGGGCCTAAATGTTCTAAATTCACAGGTGACATTATTGGAAAAATATTAAAATTTTGATCTTTAAAGTATTAGGATTATTTTTTAAAAATAAATTTATTAGGATCATTGAGTCTAAAGAAAATTTATAAAAGGACTTACATTTAATATACTAACAAAGTAGAATTTAAAAATTCATACTATTTATAATAAAACCAAAAATATCAAATATCTAGGAAAAATGTAGAGTATTTTTGTACTGAAAACTACATGTGTACATTTAAGGAAAAAACTATCTAACACACGTTAATATTTATACACTTTATGGGGCTAGAGAGATGGCTCAGCTGTTCAGAGCACTGGCTGCTCTCGTAGAGGACCTAGGCTCTGTTCCCAGCACCCACATGGTGGCTGACAACCATCAGTAACTCCAGTTCCAGGGGATCTGACGTCCTCTTCTGGCCTCTGGTGGGCATTGTACAACATACACGGAGGCAAAACACTCATACATATAAATAAAAAATGAATAAATAAAATATTATTTTAAAAGATCTGTTCACTCTACTTATACTTAATATTAAACAACTCAACTACAGCCAGGCAAGGTGGCACACGCCTTTAATCCCAGCACTCAGAGGCAGGGGCAGGCAGATCTCTGTGAGTTCAAGGCTTGACTGGTCTAGATAGCTAGTTCCAGCTGTTCTTGCGGAGGACCCAGGTTCCATTCCCAGCACCTACATGGCATCTAATGACTCCAGTGCCCCGGGATCCAACATGCTCTTCTGGCCTCCATGGGCACTGCACAACATAGGTGTACTTACACTGCAGTGGCACACATCTGTAATGCTAGCACTTGGGAGGTGGAGGCAGGAGGATTAAAAGTTCAAGATTATCAGGTTAATGTATCCAAAAATCAAACATAAACAGACATTTTTTAGAAGTCCACCTCTGTCATCACTCTGAAGGTTAAGGAAGACTCTTACCTTTCCCTCTGTAGCTTTCTTTGTTGATGAAATTTCCTTCATAAGTTTTGGAATTTCCCTTCAGATTGGGAGAAAAATTTCTAAGTTAATATTTTACAGAACTATTTTAAGGTCGTAAAATATACTTTTCTATATTTAGAACCTAAAAAATACAGAATAAAATAAAAAATGGGGTCACATACTCCAACACAACTGCAATGTGCCGGTGCCGAATCCTGACCCACAAGTCATCCTCTTCTTCGAGAATTGCCTCCTTTTCTTTTCCATCTGTTTTGTATCTATAAATAGATAGAGGCATAACATGTTTTGATTCCCTATCCTACAAAGTAGAAGAAACATTTTTACAAACAATAATTTTGAGCCAGGTGTGCTAGTGCACACCTTTAGTCTCAGCACTTGGGAGGCAGAGGCAGGAGAATCTCTGTGAGTTTGAGGCCAGCCTGGTCTACATAGTGAGTTTCAGGCCAGCTGGGGCTACAGGGAGACCTTGTCTCAAAAAGAAAAAAAAAAAAAACAACAAAACAATAATTTTGAAAAACAACCTGAAAAATACAGACACAATCCACTATTTTAGAGGGTAATTCCTATCAAGACTAAAGAATATTAGTATTCTTATAATAAAAGTTTAGCAAAACATTTTTCTTCTCAAATGTTAGGTTTATAGAGTCTTGGCAGAATTCATCTTACAAAACAAAAATTCGATGCCCTACAATCAACTTTAAGAACAAGACTAGCTAAACATGGTGGCACATGCCTGTAATCCCAGCACCTGTAAGGCAGAGAGAGGTAGGATTGGGAGTTCAAGGTCATCCTTGAATAAACGCAGTTCAAGGCCTGGGTTACACAAGACTGTCTCAAAAGCCAAAAAGTGACCAACAACAACAAAAAGAACAAAACTGAATATATTAAGAATGTATTTTAATTGCTTTAAATTCTTGTGATATATTTGATGTGACAGTACAACTATCAAATATCCATTAAAAATAAAGAACTGTCATTTCAGTTAGCCTGTTGAAGGTGTTTCAGAGTTGGTACAAAACTAACAAACAACATATATAATGTTTTCTTTTCTTTCTTTCTTTCTTTCTTTCTTTCTCTCTCTCTCTCTCTCTCTCTCTCTCTCTCTCTCTCTCTTTCTTTCTTTCTTTCTTTTTAAATAACAGTCTCACCATGTAGACCTGGCTGCCCTGGAACTTGCTGTATAGATTAGGCTGGCCTTAAACTCATAGATCCACCACCTGCCTCTCTCTGCCTCTAGATTGGTGGGATTAAAGGCGTGTACCACCACGCCTGGCTCATCTACTTCTTTACTTTTTTTTTTTGGGTCTTTTTGAGACAGGGTCTCCCTTAGCCCCAGCTGTCCTGGAACTCACTATGTAGACCAGGCTGGACTTGAATTCACAGAGACCCACCTGCCTCTGCCTCCCGAGTGCTGGGATTAAAGGTGTGTGCCACCATGTGCTACTTTTACCCAGTCTCTTTAATGAATTTGAAGAAAAGCTGGACTTGGTGGCTTATGGAAATCTGTGAGTTCAAGGCTAGCCTGGTTTACATAGCGAGTTCCAGGTCACTTGGGGCTACAGGGAGACCCTGTCTCAAAAAGACCGAGAGAGAGAGAGAGAGAGAGAGAGAGAGAGAGAGAGAGAGAGAGAGAGATAGATTATGAAAAGAAACAAACTACTATGGCTATAAAAACTGTGTGGCAGCTTCAGTAAGTTCTACTAGAGTAGGTAGTAATTCAAGAGTTTTATGGAGCTACCCAAAACAGGCTTCTTGACTGATTTTCTTGGTGTAATTTTTCCTTTCTTATTTTATGAGGATGCTTCTCCTTCCAGGGAAGACTCAATTGTCCTTGGGACTGTCAGTTTCCTGAGCCAAAATTAGGAAAGACTGCACTGAGCTTAGTTCTGGACTACAGATAATGTAGATTTCTGCCATATGAATATAATCATTTTTATAACCCCCAAATTATAAGCCTTACTTATAACACAATCTTCTTGTGTGGTCATAGTTAAGGTAATCCAAAGATAAAATGGCAGTGTTTAATTACAAGGCTAGTCAAAAGATGGAAACCCTTTTGTCATGCAGAACACTACTAAGTACTTACATATTATCTTTGACTTTAAGTGGTTTATGAGCAAAGATTCATCAGTAGCACTACAGCAACACTCAAAAATGCCAATTCCTTAGAGTAAATTTAAAGAGGTCCTTAAAATAGAAAGCACAATCTGGTTAAGTAGAATTTCCTCCATTTTCTGTTTCCATCTAAAACTGTGACGGAGATTAGCAAGGAGGTGAGGCTCCTTATGTGGTCTGGCTATAGTGTATGATGGCGAATGGGGGTAAACAGCAGGCAGTCAAATCAAAATATTATGGAAGGGAAGAAGAATAGATAATGTGAGGCTTGAGGATGCATTCATGTACTCTATCTTTTAGCTCTGTGGAGAATGGAAAACCATTTAAAAGTTCTGAAAGAAGTGATATACAGTCACCTAGATCTTACTAAAATTTTTCCTTCCCCTTGAGTCAAAAAAAGACTGAAAGGAGGGCTAAAGGCAGAAGTAGAGCACTAGAGATAAGCTAAAAATCTGCACGAAGACAGTGAGTTAAAGGCCAGTCTGGGTTACACAGTGCAGATCCTGTTTTAAAACAACACAAAGTCATAATCCAGATGAAAAATTAGATAAGTCTTTAAGATTTGTCGATGAATCCCATGTATTTGGACTTGATTGGCCATGACTGAAAGTTTTGGCCTGAGTAACTAATTATAAGATTGGTGCTACTGGGGCTGGAAAGATGGCTCTGTGGTTAAGAGCACGGTCTGCTCTGGCAGAGGAGCCAGGTTCAATTCTCAGCACCCACATGGCAGCCGACAACCCTGTAACTCTTATGTCCAGAGGATCCAACACACTCTTCTGGCCTCTGTGGGCACTGCATGATGTGGGTGCACTTACATACATGCAGGCAAAACACTCATACATAAAATAAAATAAAAACATAAAATTAAATTAAATTAAAAAAGAGATTGGAGCTACCATTTACTGTGATGGGGAATACTGGTTGTAGCAGTTTGAAGGGGGTTATCAGGGACTCAGGTTTGGACATACAAGTTTAGTAAGCTCATCAGACGTTCCAAGTGATGATGCTCAGTACAGAGTTTGATATATGAATCTGAAGAAACAAGAAGACTAGGAATAGACATAAATGTGGGCACCAAGGCAAATAAACCTTGAGAGTGGATGTGCTCCTAAAAGCACAGAAATAAAGACATGGTCTGGTCCAAAAACTGAACACTAGAACATTCCACCCATGAGACGGGATGGTTAAGAAGGAACCAAGAACCTCTGGATTTAGCAACACATTGGTAAAAAAGATATTTCTGGGCAGGTGAGATGACTCGGGGTAAAAGCAATCTGAGTTTGATACTCAGAACCCATGGTAGAAGGAGAGCCGACTAGTCCTTAAGCCTCTACATGCACAGTGTGGCACATCATGCCTGCACTCAAACATGTCATACACATGCACACAGACACACAAACACACACACACACACAAAAAATAAAATAAAATTTTTAAATGCTATCTCTATATTTACTAAGAAATAATTCCCATATAAAAATTGTGATGAAGCACAGGGAGCCAGTACTGCCACATAAGGTCTTATCTCTGAACTTTTTTGATTCAGTGAATAGCGATCTTTTAACATTCTCTTCTCTATCCCAAGCAATTAGACTTTACTTGCCAGAAAATCTAGAGAGAGAAAATTTAAAAATACTAGGTTTGTAATGTCTAAAATTTCCCATTTTTATAATTTTCTATTTCTAAAATTTCTAGAACCAAATTCTTTATTATCTGATTTCAGATGCCTTTCTAAACCTAGAGTAATTCAGGTTTGTACACCTAAAGGCACAGGTGTAAACAATACTCCTGAAAATTCTGAATAAACTGTTTAAAACAATTTTCATATGAGAAAAGTAGCTCTATTGACTTCTCTATTAACTAACATTAAGACAAACGACACAAAAGAACTTATCAGGATTTAACTGGAATTAAAAAAAAACACAATAGAAAATATCAAATTATCAAAAGTTGTATCTTTTTACTAAAACTTTTTTTTTTTTAGTCTTTTTGAGACAGGGTCTCTCTGTAGCCCCAGCTATCCTAGAACTCACTATGTAGACCAGGCTGGCCTCGAACTCAAAAGATCCTCCTGCCTCTGCCTCCCGAGTGCTGGGATTAAAGGCGTGCACCACCATACCCGCTAAAACTTTTATTTGTTAATTTGTAAATATAATGTAGGTCCTCACACGTAGTAGGAAAGTGCTCTACCACTGACCTATATCTCTTGTATTTATTTATAAAAAAATTTTTTTTGAGATGGGGTCTTACTAGACTGCTCAGGCTAGTCTTGAATTTGTTATCCTCCTGCCTTAGTCTCCCCCAAGTCGCTAGGATTGTAGGCCTGTACCACTAGGCCCAGTTTCACTAAATGAATAGAAACCTAAATTTCATAAAGTTAATATTCATTTTTACTACTGCATTCAAGTAGTAAATCTGACTGGCTTAAAGTTTGCTATGCAGTCCAGACTGGCATCAAGCTCATGATCCTTCTGCCTCAGTATCCCAAGCACTAGAATTATAGATGTGTGCCGCACTCCTGGCTTCAAATAGTAAATCTTGGCTGAAAAATGTCAATTTGGATTTAGAGATGAAGTCAAAAAACATACTGTGTGTATACCCATAAATAATATTAAAGGAAAAATAAAAGGGCTTCTTAACAAAAAGTTATTTTGTTTTTCATTTCAATTATTTCTCCTTACTTTTAAAGTTGTATCTTTATTTAAGTGTTAAGGCAGTATGTACAAAAATAGTAAAATTATGCCTCTTTTCAGTAGCCAACCTGCTGTGTTTATAGCATCTAAAATAAACTATATTGACAAAATATGTATGATTTAGAATAACCATAGCTTAAGAATTTCACATATAATATATATAAAATGTAAACTAGGTCTAGTATTTCTTCTTAAAATGATTGAAAAGTACAAATTCAAGTTGTTTAAATGTACCTCTACTACTACAAAATAGTTAAGGGGGCAAATATACTTAAAAGCTCTGAGGCAAACTGCCTTGTTAGCTTACAAAATAAACATGTTGTAAAGCTGATGATTACAGTAGTAAGAGAGGGAGGTTTCTAAATAAAAAGGTAACAGGTATTCAGACTTCTGATGTTATCACAAGCCATCCAATGTCAATCTGTCTGTTTACGCCCTTTACGCCCTTCCATTTATACTTGCTTGTATGTATCATTCTCAATTGGTAGTAGATCATATGCCATTGCCTGAAAGGTCAGTTCATGCAGGACAGTGGACACAGGATCAAAGCCACGGTCAATTATTAAGAGCTGGGAATGAGTTTTACCCTAGAATAACAAGATAAAATTATCTTAAGAAATTTAAAATCTTTATAGGAACACATTTAATATCTTAGAAAACAGGCCTGATCCTTTTCCCCACCAAAAACACACAATGAAACAAAAGAGTTAATTGCCTTAAGAATGCGAAATTGTATTAAAACAAGTAAAAACACAGTGGCACACTAGGGAAAATGACCATATAACTGAAAGCTTTCATAAATGGATTAAGAGGCTATATTTAACAATGTAATATTCTCAAATTTTCTTTTAGGAAGTAACATTTGGCTTTCACTAGATTTTTTTTTTTTCTTCCTATTCTTGTTTGTTAGAACAGGGGTTCTCTATGTATATAATCTAGGCTGGTCTTGAACTCACCAACTGTCTGCCTCAAGTGTTAAGATTACAGGAACATACTATGATACCAGGCCAAAGTTTCTTTTAAGTTCAGCTCCATAAATAACAAAAATGACATAAATTATAAATAGTAGCCACTACTTAAGTTTTTATGGTAGACATTTGATAATCAAGAAATACACATATTATTTTATTTCATAGAAATATTACTCTGTGGTTCTTATAGCAGTTCTTTGAGGTATTACATCCATTTGACAAGGAAGGCATATTAAAGTTTAAAATCAAGTAATTTCCCCAAATCACAGAGTCAATTACATGGCAGAATGGAGCTTCAAACCCAAGTCAGCTCTAGTTTAACGCTTGGATTTTTAACTATTATGACATTTAAAAAGATTATGTTAATAACAACTAAGATGATAAATCATAATGAAAACCTTGTTAACATTAATTCACAGTGAATCACTAAACAATGAAATGAGTAATAGTGTTAGAAAATTCTATTGCTAATATTTGAATGTTCAATTCTTTGTGTGTGTTGGGGGGGGGGTACCCAGGGCCTAGGTGCTCTACAATTGAGCTTATATAACCCCAGTCCTTTTTTCACTTTTGAATTTGACACACAGTCTCACTGCATTGCCCAGACTGGTCTTAAGCTCACTTTGTAGCCCAAGTAGGTCTTGAATTTGTGATCCTCCTTCCTCAGTTTCCATTTTTTTTTTTTTTTTTTTTTGGTCTTTTTGAGACAGGGTCTTCCTGTAGCCCCAGCTGGCTTGAACTTACTATGTAGACCAGGCTGGCCTTGAACTTACAGAGATTCACCTGCCTCTGCCTCCCCAGTGCTGGGATTAAAGGTGTGCGCCACCACACCCGACTTCATATTTAATTCTTAAAAGTAATTAATTCTGGGGCTGGAGAGATGGCTCAGTGGTTAAGAACACTGGCTGTTCTTGCAGAAGATCCGGGTTCAAATCCCAGCACCCACATGGCAGCTAACAACTGTCCATAATTCCAGTACCAGGGGATCCGACAGCCTCTTCTGTCCTACGCGGGCATTGTACGACATGGGTGCACTTAGCAACATTCAGGCAATACATGCATACACATAAAATAAAAATAATAAAATTTTTTTTAAATGTAATTAATTCTTTGCTATTCAAATAGTAAGTGGTATCTAAAACTCATTCGACAAACAATTTCTATTTGGATACATATAGCAGATAGAGGTAAAAAGTGTACGCTAGATTTTTAAAATGTGTTTATTCGACTTTACTCTTCTAATAAAGTCTGAGGCAGTAAGGTGCAGTGGTCAAAAGCATAGGCTTTGGAATCAGATCTGGACCTGAATTCAGCCTTGATCAGTTTCTTGCTGTATGACCTCAGTCAAATTGCTCAACTTGTAATATGTCAGTATTCTCTTTGTAAAAATGACATATAATCATAGAACCCCTGCCTTATAGACCACTATAAAGATTAAATATAATACGTAACACATATAGAGTTAAGAGTCTTCAGAAACGTACAAATGAAAAGGCAGTACAATGTCAGAGCTTGGGGCTCAGGGCAGCATTTGGTGGTTATCACATGGCCTGAAAAGTCAGAAAAAGCTTCAAAAAAGGTGACCCTTCATCAGGCACTTGAATAAAAGAAAAGTATCAGGCATGTGAAGGACATGCAATTCTCAGGAAGAATGAGAACAGTGTGTGTGTGTGTGTGTGTGTGTGTTCATCCTGCCCTTCAATTACTCTGAAATTGGGAAGGACTAAGATATTTACTATTATTCTTTAACATTTATTTATTGCTTGCTATAATTACTAAGTCACTCTACCTTCATAACAGAATAACTTTTTTTTGGTCTTTTTTGAGACAGGGTCTTCCTGTAGCCCTAGCTGGTCTGGAACTCGCTATGTACACCAGGCCAGACTTTAGCTCACAGAGATCTGCCTGCCTCTGCCTCTGGAGTTCTGGGACTAAAGGCATGTGCCACCTTGCCTGGCTCCAGAATAACAACTTTTACTGTATCTCCAAATAAAAAAATCTGTAACTTTTAAAGTAACCAGCATAACATCTAAATTTATATCCTCCATTCCAACCAAGTTGCTTAATCCTCAATTTTGCCTTTTTCTCTATGCCTCCACCCACAGAATCCTGTTAGTCTTGCAATAAATTCCCCCTTTACTAAGCTATAGTCATTTTTGAAGCTCAAGGGTCTCTTCCTATAACAATGCCTTCCAAGACTCCAGTTTAAAGTAAGATAGACCTATGTTCCCAGTGTATTCTATACATGCCCCTCTCAAGCCTCTTACTGCATAGCACTGCTAATTGGCTTCTTTGGCCATCTCCTCTTCTAAACTAGGACAGTTCCTGCCTTCATTCTCTAGTTATTGTGGTATGGCTTCTCAGCCTTTCAACACCTCCTGTCAGTATCCTCTAGATTTTTATTCTCCAGCCACACTTATATGCTGGCATTCCCCAGGTTCCAACCTTAGTCTTTGATTGCATTATATTATTTTTAGAAAATGAAAACAAAGGTTGCTATTTATTACATTCTCATACATGCCAAATACTTAGATGTTATCTCACCCAATTCTCATACCACCAAGCAAGGTACATATTACCTCACCTACTTTAGAGAGGAGAAACAACTCAAAGTCATAGAGCTGGTACTAGTGGAAATTCCAGGATTTATTTAACTCAGTGGAAAGTATTATTCTAAAGACTTTATATATTTTAACTTATTTAATCTTTTCATTAGCTTAAAATAGGTATTATCATATTATTTTTATTTTATAGAGACAAAAATGTAGGTACAAAGTAGTCAAATAATTCACCTTAATTAACTGAATTAGGATTTGGACACAGTGCTGACTTCAAAGCCTCTATCTTCCCTATAAACCACACCAACTACTAAGACTTCTATTACTGTATCTGTCAATGATTTTCAAATCAGAAGTGGAGATCCAACTTTTTAAAAACTTATGTGTATATGAATGTGGGTATGTGCACTTGAGTATAGGTGCCCAAAGAGGCCAGAAATGTTGGATTCCCCCAGAGTTGGAGTTACAGGCAATTGTGAACCACTAAACACGGGTGCTGTGAGCTGAACACAGGCCCTCTAGAAGAGTAGTATACTCTTAACCACTTAGTCATCTCTCCAGCACCTAGTGATCCATCTTAACGATTACCAAATCAATACAGAAAAAAAAATGAACATGTTGCTTTGGCTTATAAAAGAAATATAGACTTCAAGCATAGTCATTGTTTGCCTTTTACAAATTACCTTTATTAAGCTTTTTTCATCAAGTTTGTAGTAGTCTTCAAGTTTTTTTTCAACCAGCTGTGCAAGCTTACTGGCATTATCTAGAGGTGTACTAGAAATAGAAAAACGTTCAAACAATTATCTTTCAGGACACAGTATTTATCCTTCAGGACACAATATCATAAAGTTGAATTCTAAAATTAAATTTTGCAACATCATTTACAAAATGAAGTCTTACAAAATGGAAAATTTCAGATATCAAATGGTATATAATTATCATGTGTTTGTTTAAGATTTTTTTTAACATTAGAAAAAATACATATATATTATATATATATATTTTGGTCTTTTTGAGATAGGGTCTCCCTGTAGCCCCAGCTGGCCTGGATTCTCTATGGAGACCAGCCTGGCTTTTTTAAAATATTTTATTTATTATTTTTATTTTCTGTGTATGAGTGTATTGCCTGCATGCATGTGAGTGCACCCATATCATGTGGAGGTTAGAAGAGGGCTTCGGATTCCCCTGGAATTGGAGCTTCGGATTCCCCTGGAATTGGAATTGGATGGTTTGTAGCCACCATGTGGGTGCAAGGAATCAAACTCTGGTTCTCTGCAAGAGCAGTCGGTGCTCTTAACCGCTGAACCATCTCTCCAGCCCCTTAAACATTTTAAAAAATATTTTATTTATTATTTTTATTTTATGTGTATGAGTGTATTGCCTGCATGTGAGTGCACCCGTGTCGTGAAATGCCATGGAGGTCAGAAGAGCGTGTTGGATTCCCCTGGAACTGGAGTTAAGGACGGTTTGCAGCCACCATGTGGGTGCTGGGAATCAAACCCAGGTCCTCTGGAAGAGCAGTCAGTGCTCTCAACCATCTGAGCCATCTCTCCAGCCCCCATGCTTAAGATTTTTTAATATGAGCTGAGCATGGTGGCACACACCTTTAATCCAAGCACTTGGGAGGTAGAGGTAGGCAGATCTGTGAGTTCAAGGCCAGCCTGGTCTACATAGTGAGTTTTAAGCCAGCCCCACTAAAGCGAGACCCTGTCTCAAAAAGGCCAAAAAAAATAAATAAAAATAAAAGAAATAGAAATAAATAAAATAAACCTTACCTCTTAAAAAAAAAAAAAAAACCTCAACATTTATCTAAAATGCTCACTGGGATCAGATACTAGAAATGCTTATATACTATAATATGTATCCAGATAACATAGCCACTATTTGTTTACTTTTTTGAGACAGGGTCTCCTTACAGCCTGGATCTCATAGAGATCTGCTTGGCTGCTGAGAGTAAAGGTATGTACCACCATGCCTAGCTAATATGGCTATTTAAAACTAGTAAAGATTTAATGATAAAACATCAAATGCAAGATAGTATTTCCCATATATCAATAAAACATGCCCTCTAAGCATTCCTTAAATTAATGAAAAACTGTCCATGAATGGCATCAAATTTAACCTCTGAAATTCAGTACCAGGCACTATTAGTTAATCTGAAATTTTAAGCGTTAAACTTTAAATCTCTTGTATTCAGAGCTTGGTAATTTGTACAAGGAAAATCTATTTTGCAAACCAACACAAAAAAGCAAAGATATTGTCTCTAGACCTTATCACAAATAGGAAGCATATCATGTACACACACTATTGTGCCTTACCTTTTATATCTCACTCCAGGATTTTCATCCAAAGCGGCGCATACAGTAACTATCTGCTCAGCCATAGCTTCCATGATGGCATCTTTTCCGCTAGCATTACTAGGGTCTGGACTGTAACAGTAATAGAATGCATCTGGTACATCAAGGGTATAAACCTAAGTCAAGTTAAAGAAACATATTGTTAATCTAGAGACTTGATTTTAAAAATGCATACATATAAAATGCATACTCATATAAAACTGCAGCTATGATTTCAGACATTAAAGAAAAAAAATGCTTGTATTAACCAGGCTGTTTCCTGAAAATAACTGCCTTAACTTAATTCCTACGTCCTCTGTCATCTTCATTTCATTCTTTATCTTTTCTCCTTTCCTGTTTAGTCTACTTTACTCCTTCACTTCTTGGTTCAAATATAGATTGTATTGATTGCTTTTTACAACCTGTGCAACAGATGAAGGAATCTGAAGTAGTCAAACTAAAAATATCTAATGCCTGGCAGGATGAAAGATTAAAAATCTTAACCTAGTATGGAGTAACCTAGAAACTTCCCATGGTTGATATATACATCTCTAATTCTTTAGTCAGATGCATATCCCTAAAGATATTCTCCCCCCAAATGACAAGTCACTGCCAGACACAAGACTTAACATAAATAAAATGAAACCCAAGAGACATTAATTTGCTCAACTAACAAAAGTGTTTATTCATGTGCAAAGAACTGCATTAGTAACTTCTTATTGTGTTACTTGAGAGAGACTGAAGCAGTTGAGAGTTCTCTCCATTAAACTAAGTTTGGGATTTTCAAAAGTAGGGAGAGTAATTCCTCTCAATGCAGGATAATGTATTAGGCATGCAGGTAATAAATATTATTGGTCAAGTAACAAATTATGGATAAATTTCTTTGCAATTCCTTTCAAAGTCGTTTACTCTCTGAACATAACCCACTGCCAACAGCAGCAGCTTAAACCTGGATTGAAATTTAGCTATGACCAACCCAGGTATCTCTGCTCTCAAAGGCTCGGCTGCTGTATTGTGTTAATTACCAACCAACAAGTGTGCTGCACATGAACTGTTACCGTAGAGGGTACTATCTCATTGCAGCAGGTAATGTTATTTGTTCAGAAATATTTACTATCCCTACCTGAAAGACCTCTCTTTGGGAATATACTTCCCGCCCATTGACGTCGGGCTGCACTATGAAAACAGGTATGTTATCACTTATTCAAGAAGCTCTAAATACCATTTTGTGTTTGGGGGTGGGCAGGTAATAAATAGCTCAGTGGTAGAGTGCTTACCTGGCATGTTCAAAGCTTTAGTTTTGATCCCCAGCACCTATTAGTCTCCTCCTCAGGTCCCCACGAGGATGAACGTGATAATAACCACCACAAAAAACCATTATGTGCTCCAACAAAAAATTCTTTTCTTTATGCCCTTAACTGCCCTCTTCAGCCTAGGCCCCAGAATATAAAGGATGTAAAACAAAAGCCCAGCTAGTCACAATGGACGATGGCATAAATTGAGAAATAAAGCTCTGCCTAATGCACTGATATTTTAGGAGGTCCTAGGACAGTGCACGGAATAGAACTTGGGGTCTGGTTTCACTCTGTCCTCAGTTTTTCCCTGTCCCTTTCTCTTCTCTTCCCTTCTTGCCATCACCATTATAAGTTCCTTTAGACTACAACATTTCTTTGTGACCCACAATGATGCCTTAAACACTGACAACTGTCTTCTGTCTGCTTTCAATGCTAATCTATAGCTAGCTTGACTACACCTAGAGCCCACTTAACACACCCCTATTTTCTTGAAGGCTTTCCATCCACTTGTCTTAGTACGCGCACGCACGCGCGTGTGTGTGAATTTTTGTTCTATTTTTGAGACAGGGTCTCCCTGTAGCCCCAGTTGGCCTGAAACTTACTATGTAGACCAGGCTAGCCTCGAGCTCACATAGAGCTCACAGAGATCCATCTGCCTGCCTCTGCCTCCTGAGTGCTGGGATTAATGGTATGCCCTACCATGCCTGGCTCCAGAGATTGTTCTTTAATCGCTTGACTCATGAAATCTCAAGGAATGAGTCAATCTTTCTTTTTAAATTTGTTAAATGTCCAACCCAGCTCCTTTGATGAATTCTCGTATCTAACTTCACCCATCTCTTCCCAATGATCTGGTGATTACACGACTCTACTTTTCCTTAAAGACTTTAGGATCAGGTCAAAGTTTTCTGTACCAGCTCTTCTGTCACCATTCTTGGGAGGAGCTGGAGCCTCCTACAGTACCATCTCAGCCTACTCTGCAGAGTCTCATCTATTATACCATCACTCCTATAACCCATATTTCTGCCGCTGCCACATTTTTCTGCTTCTGTATTTTTGCATTCATAGTATTCTTATCTCCTACAATGTCCCTCTTAATTGTTACCATGTGAAATTCTACTCATCTTCAAATGTTTCCCCCATCTCCTAGAAGTAACTTTCTGTGACTGTGAGATGCATCCCCAGCAAATATACCCCCTTTACTTTTCGGTAACTATTCCAGTTCATTGGGAAGTACAGCTATACAGACCCATCTGAAAGACACATCTCAGCTTCCTGTGAACTTAGGTGTACTCATGGGACTAAATTTTAGCTAACAAGGTATAAATGAAGATTAAAAAAATAATAATAAAGTTTTTACTGAATGTTTTTGTATTTCATACATAAAATCATTTTTTACCCCCTTCCCCTTTGGCACCCTCCAATAGCCCCCCCCCCCCACTGGAGTTCATACATTCTGTCATTTGTATTAAGACCTATTATATAAAGTTAGTGTCCCAAGATGCCCCTTATTGCAAGCTCATCCACTGGGGCTTAGTCAGGCTATCTAGAGTCTCTCCCTTCAAGAAGATCAGCTCTTCCTCACCCAGCACTAATCAGCTGCCAAGAATTCTTCAACTAAAATTGGGACATGCTGTTTATTTCCACAGTTCTGTGCTGGGTTTTTGTCTGCCTAAATTTGCATGGGTCGTGTGCATGCTGACACCATTGCTGTAGGTTTGTATGAGAAGGGTCCCTGGTGTCTGTAGGACTATTTCCATATGGTCATGCACCTCTTCCCTGGCTCTTACAATCTTTCTGCCCCCTCTTCCACAATGGTCCCTGAGCCTTGCTTCATTCTTTCTTATTGCTATTCTACCTCAAATGAGACTATAATAGTTCTATAGGCATCAGGCTCATGAGGGGCATGCCTAAGAGAACAGGCTTCTGACAATTTCGTAGCTCTATAGTATAAGCTTATAAAGCAAGAAATAAATCTTGATGTTGTTTAGGCCATGGAAAGTATAAATTTTTCTGTTGTACTCAGCTGAACCTAATCCTTAATGACACATTTTTGAATACTCTGTATCTCTTTTATCTCTTTTATAGACTCGAACAGAACAGAACATCTATTGTACGCCTCACTTCAGAGGACTGCTTCAAATCTAGCATGTCTACTGAACATGATTTGTTTTGAGACAGAGTCTCACTGTATGGACCAGGCAGCTTCTGCCTTCCCAGTATTGGGATTTTAGGCATGTTCTATAATACCCTGCCTGAAATGATTTAATTATTAAATATTCAGATAAGCCTCTGTTCAAACTTCAAAGTACTTCATATTTCACATATATATTCACTTGCAAAAAATTCAATATATTTTTATTTTCATTCTAATTTCCCAAATCAATTAAACTTATTAAGAAAAGCCAGGCCTGATGATACACATTTGTGATCCTAGCACTTGATAGGCGGAGTCAGGGGAAATCAAAGTTCAAGGTCAGTCTGGAGACACTGTCTCAAAAAAAAAAATTTTTTTATTAAGAAAATTCTCAAAAGGTGTTTATCAAGGAAGCAAAAATGAGAAAAAAAAATAGGGAAAATGCATAAAGAGGACCTTAAATAATCACATTTCACGAAGACAAAAAAAATTCTCAAGATATTTCTTTATACATAGTTTATAGCCATAAGCTATCAAATTAAATCACTTTTGTATGCAACTCCTTCCTTCAAATACAGCAATTGCAGAATTTTAATGAACTCTAGGGCTAAGGCTACCTGGAGCGAAGATGTTCTGAAAATGTTGATAGCATTAGCATACTACTGCTTATATCCTACGTGATTTTAAGAAGTCCATTTTCATCCTACACTAAACTTACATATTATATTAAAGGAATGAGGCTTCAGCTAACTTCTTTTTATGTGTATGAGTATACTGCCTGCATGTGTGTACATATATTCCTGTGGAGGTCAGAAGAGGGCATCGGATCCCCTGGAACTGGAATTACCGTTGTTAGCCACCATAGGGGTGCTGGAATTTGAACGTGAGTCCTCTGCAAGAGCAGCCAGCAATCTTAACCACTGAGCCATGTCTCCAGTCCGAGATAACATTTTAGTTAAACAGATTCTTAAAATCTTATAATTTGGATTATAATCTTTGTCACAAACATCAAAGCTTAAAAGAGAAATCCCTTATCTAAGACCTTTCTATTCCCCATACATTAACATAGTTCCATGTGGCTCGAAACTATTCCAATTATATGATATATATGCATCATATGTATCAATTATATGTATAATTGTAATTGATACATATATCAATTCACTAGCTATGTGATTTGGGGTAAGTTTTTTTGGGGGGAATCTTTTAGAGACAGGGTCTCCCCGTAGCCCCAGCTGTCCTGAAACTCACTATGTAGACCAGGCTGGCCTTGAACTCACAGAGATCCGCCTGCCTCTGCCTCCCAAGTGCTGGGTTCAAACGTGTGCGCCACTGCGCCTGGCTTGGGGCAAGTTATTTAAAGTCTTAAATTTCTTAACTTTAAAAGGAGCATGGTGGTGCACACCTTTAAACCCAGTACTTGGGAGGCAGAGCCAGGCGGATCTCTGTGAGACCATGCCCAGCCCGGTCTACATAGGGAGTTCTAGGCCAGATGGGGCTACAGGAAGATCTTGTCTCAAAATAAATTAAAAAGTAAAAATAAATGAAATTTTAAAAAATAGGGACCAAAATACGCACCATCTATTCATATGAAAGAATTCAATTACGAAATTTATGTAAAGAACTCAAAAAAAATTACCTGACATGAAGTAAATACTCCATCAGTGGTTACTATTATCATTAGTACTATTATTAATCAAAAGCTTGCTAACTTATAAGGGCAAAACAAATGAACACCCTCATTTTATAGTTATGCTATTTAATATTAAATATTTAAGTTTTTGTTTAAATATCATAAATGGTTACAAAAGCTAAATGTATTTTGGCATCATCTAACAAAGATCATGGTTTTAAAAAAAAAACTCTTAATTTCCTATCAAGTTAAGAGCTGAAATTTAACATACACACGATTTTATTTTATTTGGTGCCAGATAAGAAATTTAAGCCCTTCTTTTCATTATTAATGTATTCCAATTGTTCATGTTTCTCCATTTACTGTGGGGAATTAGGTACAGAATTTGTGGATTAGGTACAAAATTTATCAAATACATACATAAAACATTCTCAGACTATGCCTTAGTAACAAGTTCATACAATTAAATCTGAAAACCCATTATGAATAAAAATTAAAAATAAAAATTTCATGTACCTGAGATTCATGTGGAATGAAGGAAATGTTTATTTCTTTACATCTTCTTATTGACTTGGAGCATGCCTTAATTTTGTTGAAGAGACTGTCAGGGCAAACTGAGGGGCAAAAAAAAAAAGCATACAGTTCCATCTAAGCCTTTATTCCTTTTGAATAAATCATCTCGACACTTAAGAGTATTTTATGAGGACAGAGACAATCTACTACAAGGCATGAAACAGACTTCTTAAAGCAAGGACTCTCATAGCAGAAATGCAACATAATGTAGATATAGATGGCACCTTAATTTTGAAATATTAACACAACAAAAACAGAAATGTGTCTCGGGACTCTCTTTCCTCTCTTCTGCTTTCTATTTGAATGTACACCATAAGAAAAATGGCAGATTTTTCTCTATTTGAATGTATACCATAGTAAGAAAAATATGACAGATTTTTCTCCTGTAAGATAGCCAAACAATAAGGCTCTTTTCTTCACTGCCTTCTCATAACCCTGTTTTGTTTTGTTTTTTGGTGTTTTTGAGATAGGCTCTCCTGGTAGTCCCACCTGGCTGGAACTCACTATGTAGACCAGGCTGGCCTTGAACTCACAGAGATCTGCCTGCCTCTGCCTCCCAAGCGCTGGGATTAAAGGCATGCGCCACCATGCCCTGCTCAACCTTGTTAATAATAAAAAAATCCCTGATTGGAATTTTGATTAAATATTGTTTCCTGCCACCAACATAAAAATCTGAGAGCTTGCTATACAAGCAAGTGACTGTCATTTGAAACTAGTTAAAAATGGTTTCCTTTAACCTTCCATCATTATAACAACTTGGTATAGGAGCTCATATTAGGATACTTTACTATATTTAGATTCTTTCTAGTTTATAATAAATGACATACAAAAAAAATCACTCAAATCATTTTATAAAAAGTGGACACTCCAAAGTTAATAGGATGTTAAACAATGAGGTAATAACCTTTAAAAAGCTACTTACAGTCAGTGAAGTATATATATGCTGCTTTATATTTGTTCTCTGATTTACTTGCAAAATCTCGTAAGAAACAATCTATAGACTTAAAAAAAGACATTAACATATATTTTATTAAATATGGACTTAAATATGTCAGCTTTGAAATAACTAAGATTATTTTATTTTAACAAAATAAATCCTTACTGGCTAAAAGTTCAATTTATAAACTGATTTTTAAAGAGAATTATCTCTCCAGTCATATAATAAGGCAACAAGAAGGAAGGTAATATGAATGAACAGGTGCTAATACTGCCAATGAAGAGGTTTAGGCCTGAAGCAATGAAGAATAAGACTACTGGAAAATAACAGATGGATGAAATGAGAGGTCAGGTACCAGGAAGCCAAGGTACTGCAGCATCACTGACATGAGACCAGAGGGCTGAAGAGATGGCTCAGTAGTTAAGCGCACTGGCTGCTCTTTTGGAGAACCTAGATTTGGTTCCCAGCACTGGCATGGCAGCTACCAATCATCTGTAACTCTGGCTCCAGGGGATCCAATGTTCTCTTCTGGCCTCAGCAGACACTGCACACACGTGGTGCACTTACATGCATGCAGGTAAAACTCTCACACACAAAAAAATAAAAAAAATATTTTTTTGGTGTTTTTGAGACAGGGTATCCCTGTAGCCCCAGCTGGCCTGGAACTCACTGTGTCGACCAGGCAAGCCTGGAACTCACAGAGATCTACCTGCCTCTGCCTCCCAAGTGCTGGGATTAAAGGCGTGCACTACCACATCTGGCAATAAAAATATTTTTAAAAGAAAAATAAAATTGCTGAGACTTAGCACTGGAGAATTTTAAACAGAGTGATAATAAGGAAGGAGCTAAATTAAGGGATTACAATAAAAGACTATGGCTCAATATGGTAGTTTTAAAAAGCAAGACAATCATTTAACTGCACAAATGAAGAAAGTGAGTTTAATATCTCTCCTCTGTTTGACCCTTTTTCTCTTGGAAATCCTAGAACTATATTTCTGTAACATTACATGGATCTATCTTCTAAGTCCTTATCTTTTCTTCCGTGATTTCTATGACTTACTGCTGAGCCATCTCTCCAGCCCTGATTTCTATGACTTTTTTCTTTTTTGCCATTGGATCTTGCAGGCCATGAATTCAAATTTCAAGAGATTATCCTCTCCTTCAATTAACTGTTTAGTAAGAAATCACACTCTGAGCTTTAAAAACGGTTTTAGGAGCTATATAAGGCCTTCTACAGGTATACTCTTTTTCTGTTCAGGATGGCAAACTCTTCAAGCAGCTCTCTTTTGCTAGCTAGATGTTTTCTTCATTTCACTGTACTTCCTCCATCTGGTGCTGCAACTTCTTAGCTCTATTGCTAGTTATGCTGATTTTTTTTTAAAGGCTTAGTTTTATTATTTCCAATACTGGAAGGAGAGTCATCTCAGTACAAGTATTTCTTTTTCCTTTGGTGAAATCTGAACGGGGGGGGGAGGCTCAATAATAATGTGTGGTACATTAAATCTTGATGTTGCTCTTACTCTTCAATAAACTTCAATAAGCCTCCTACCTAATCCATTCTAATTTCAACCATTAATTGGCTAGGCATTTACTTTTCTGTCTATTTTGTAAGTTAAATCTCAGTCTCAGCTCCATTAAAATGGACATGTACACCCTTGCAGTTCAGAGAAATGTAAGATCTGCTGCAAATCAAATGCAGTTCATCATATAAAAAAACCACATATATCATATATTTTGGTCATTTCTTTACGTGGACACATTACTGCAGTCTAGAGTCGATTGGCTATCATTAATAATACTCCAAACTCAACATATTACAAGGTTCCCGTTAGGCTATTTGGTGCTTGCCTTAAGGGCAACATGCTGGCAAAAGCATTTTTATGCCATTCCTGATGCCAAATAATGACTTCTCAAATCCTCAGAGAATTTTTTTAGTGGACTTTAAAAGCTGCTTGCTTTTCTTTACCAACTCATTTGAAGCTTACGTTTAGCTGTGAGAAGATCCTAAACACAGCCACTTCCACAAGAGGAGGAAGACATGAAGTCTTCCCAAGGGCAAAACCACCAAAACAAAGGAGACAAACCATTAAGCCCTGCTGAGACATCAACTGACCTTTCCCTTAGAATTCACAGATGTGTTCCAGCCAACTCTTCCTAAAATCTGTTTCTTTATGATCCTTGTCTAGGAACTCTGATGCTGGTCCCTGGGTACTGTCCCAGATAATGAACTAGCAAATCTCACAATATGGTTTTTCACAGTACTCCCAAGAACTCCAAGATCTGATGTGCACAGAGGCCTGTAGGACACAGCAGGCAATTGATTCATGATGAGAAGAGAAAACTGGAGTTGGCTGAGTAGGTATGAGAGTCACATTCAGGCAGCACCTTCTCTGAGCCTTTTGCTACTTTACTAAATATGTAATTCTGTATCCTGCTTTTGTCACTTAATATTAAAAGTTAATTCCTAGGTCATTAAATTCATAAAAACCTTATTTTTAATGGCCTTATGGTCTTTCATACTATTCTTTATTTGTCTGTTTTGGGGTTTTTTTGAGACACGGTCTGAAACTTGTTATATAGACTAGGTTGGCCTCAGTCTCACAGAGATCTATCCGGTCCTGCCTTCCAAGAGCTGGGATTAAAGGGTGAAGGGTGTACTATGTCCAGCCCCAGCATTCTTTTTTTTTTTTTTTTTTTTGAGACAAGGTCTCCCTGTAGCCCCCCCTTGAACTCACTATGTAGTTCAGGCTGGCCTTGAACTCACAGAGATCCACCTGCCTCTGCCTCCCTAGTGCTGAGACTAAAAGGCATGCGCCACCATGCCCGGCTTAGCATTCTTTATTAATTCTAAGAATTTAATTGACTTATTCCTATCAGCTTAATTTGATCACTTATTTCCTTACACCAAACTAAAACACAGAACATTTTAAAAAACCTTGTGACAATGACAAAGTATTTTCAAAAGGCTGTATCAATCTATAGTCCCACTAACAGCAAATGGCAGATTTGCTTCATTCCCCATAGATGGCTAGAATAAGTGTGGTGTGTGTGTGTTTGTGTGTATGCACCCAATCTTTATGACAATTTGCTAGGTGAAAAGTGTTTTGAACTTGCATTGTTTTTCCAATTATGGTTTTCCCTTGTAGTATTACATCAGGGATAAGTTATAAAAATGCCATTAAGGCCAGGCATGGTGAGTTCAAGGCCAGCCTGGTCTACAGAGTGAATTACAGGACAGCTGGGGCTACAGGAAGACCCTGTGTCAAAAAAGACCAAAAAAAAAAAAAGCCATTAAAACCCACTCAGCACTAGCAGTCGATATACAGAGAGCATGTTTTTTTGAGTGGGTTTTGCTGTTTGCTTCTCTACTGTCTGCTAGAGTTAGAAGTGAAATGAAACTGAAATTGCAAAATATATTCTTAGGTGGGAGTGAAAAAAAAGGTATTGAAAAATGCATTCTCAGAAATTACATAGAACTGGACATGGTGGCTCATGCCTATAATTCCAGTATGCAGGAGGCTGTGCCAGGAGGACTTAGAGAATTCAAGGCCAGCCTGGGCTACACAAGGAGAGCCTGTCTCAGAAAACAACCCCCCCCAAAAAAAACAAAAACGAAACAAAACAGCAACCCCCACCCCAAAAAACCCTCAAACAAACAAAAGGTTATTACACAGAAAAAAAATGAATCTGATACTATACTTGGTTCTAAGTTTGGCTTAGAAAGTAAAAACCGTGCTGTTAGAATAAAAATTGGAGAAATTTCTATGACATAAAAAAACAAAAACAGGGCTGGGCATGGTGGCACATGCCTTTAATCCCAGAACTCATGAGGCAGAGGCAGGCGGATCTCCGTGAGTTCAAGGCCAGCTGGTCTACATAATGAGTTCCAGGACAGCTGGGGCTACAGGGAGACCCTGTCTCAAAAAGACCAAAAAAACAAAACAAAACAAAACAAAACAAAACACATATACACCCTGGGCATGGTAGTGCATACCTTTAATTCCAGCACTTAGGAGGCAGAGGCAGGCACATCTCTGTGAGATGGAGGCCAGCCTGGTCTACATAGTAAATTCCAGGCAGGCTGGGGCTACAGAAGACCCTGTCCAAACAAAATGTATACACACACACACACACACACACACACACACACACACACACACTACAAATTCATACATATACATGTATATTATAGGACAATCACTAAAATAAAGATTTTTTAAAAATCTATATTCCCATCTCTTCCAAAGTTATGGTTCAACAGGAATTATGTGAATCACAGATTCTTCAAAGAAACTATCATTTTATATCATCAAATTCTGCTTGCATATATGGTAGAAGAAAGGAAATCTTTCCTTATACATTCTCACTGGGAGGAATACAAATAAAACAAAACACAGAAAAAAAACTTTTCTAAATAAAGCAGCTTATGAAAATACTCTTCTAATTAAGTGTGCTGTACTACTTTGAATTTCCTATTAGCAAATCATGAAAAGAGTAAAGAAACTTGTTTTAAGCTCAAGGACTGAGGGCCTGGAGAGATGGCTTGGTGGTTAAGAGTACTAGCTGCTCTTGCAGAGGACCTGTATTTGGGTCCTAGCATCTACACTGGGCAGATCACACCCATCTGTAACTTCAGTTCCAAGGGTCTAACACCTACTGGCTTCAGTGGGCATGTCCACACACGGTGATCATACATACAAGCAGAATCATATATATATATACAATATACACAAAATAAAAATAAAATGAATAAATTTTAAATAAGATCAAGGACCGAGAAGCCTTGCACACTCTATCACTGAGCTATACCCAACCGAAGAACCTACTTTCTGGAGACTTGAAATACTCACTTTTGATGTTGGAGAGATAAAGTAAAGAGCTTTCATTTGTCTGACAGGTTCACGGTTCTTATAAATATTCTCTATAACTGACAACAGCAAAAAAAAGTCATTTGATATAACCAAATCTTACAACAATTTAAAAATAAACTTTACTGTATTTTCTATTTATAATAATAACAGGAAAATGCATTTTTGTATATAAGGTTTACTTTTTCATTCAATAAATCAATAAATCCTTAAAAAACCTATCTTCTCTGAGACTAAGCTATATGTGGAATTGTGTTTTCATCATGAGGAAAAAAAAGATAAAGCAGACACTTTAGATAGGCCTCCAAGAATACAGCATAAACAATCACTATGCCAAGAAGAAACCAATAAAATGAATTAAAAATTCAAATGCTATTTCTTTTTTTTTTTCTCCAAATATATACTTCTTGGGGTCAGTGAGTTGACTCAGAAATTAGAGGCACCTACCACCAAGCCTGATGACCCCCCCCGCAACATCCACATGGTGAAAGAACTACAGAGTGTCATATGGTCTCCACACATGAGCCATGCCATATGTGCCCCCATACAAAAATAAATAAAAACGCAATGAAATTTTGAATTTTAAAAATTATGTATTTAAAAAAATATGCTTCGATAATAGCAAATATGATACTGGTTACACCAGTCTACACACTTTACATGGATTATTTTTAAACTTCGTAAGAACAAAGAAGCTACGTAAGAGCTTCAAAAATGAAACACTAACCCTCAACCCTTCCCTATCCTGGAAAACCTCCTCCAAATGAAATGTCCAATAGCCATCTATTATTACTACTATGCTTGGAGAATGATGTACATGTTTTGACACTGTGAAAATGAAATCTGTTAACTAACAGCAGGAAATGCTACTTCTTCATTCATTGAAAAGTATGTTATATGGCTTTTAATCATTCCAAGTGAAAGGAATAATCTAATTCCCAGTCTATTTTTAAAAGATTTGTACTTAGGGGCTGGAGAGATGGCTCAGTGGTTAAGAACACTGGTAATTCTTGCAGAAGACACTGGTTGTTCCTGCAGAAGACCTGGGTTCGAATCCCAGCACTCACATGGCAGCTAACAACTGTCTGTAACTCCAGTTCCAGGGGATCCAACAGCCTCTTCTGACCTCCACGGGCATTGCATGACATGGGTGCACTTATCTACATGCAGGCAATACACTCATATTTAAAAAGATTTGTACTTGATTTTATGGGTGATGGATCGAGAAATAGTCTCATGTAGCTCAGGCTTGCCTCAAACTTGCTATGTAGCTAAGGATGACCTTGAAGTCCTGATCCTCCTGCCTCCACCACCTAAGTGTTAGGATTATAGACATGTACTACCATGTTCGGTTTCCCCATCTATTTCTTTTTATCTTTTTATTTTTATTTTTTTATGTGTATGAATGTTTTGTTTACATGTATGTAAGTACAATGCCTGTAGAAGACTGACGGTGTCAGATTCCCCCCAGAACTGGAGTTACAGTGAGTTGTTAGCCACCAAGTAAGATGCTTAACTGAACCTGGTTCCTCTGCAAGAATAGTCAGTGCCCAAGTCATCTCTCCAGGCAACCCCCCATCTCCCTCCGTCCCTCCTTCCTTCCTTCCCTTTCCCCTCCCCTCCTTCTCTCCCTCTTCTCCTCCCTCCCCTCTTTTTTTTGCCTTAGTCTTTTCATTTTTAATATTTTTATTGAGTTGTTATGCATTTCATATAATACATCTTAATCAAATTTAGCCCCCCATACCAGATTTCAGGTATTCAGTTATATATGTTAAGTCCTATCTGGTCAAGCATTTCTATGCAGGGATCCCTCTGTGCAAGTTCATCCACTGGGTCTAGTCAGCCTATCTAGAGTCACTCCCTTTAAGAAGAGCTACTCTCCCTCACCCCACAGCAATCATTTGCCAATAGTTTCTTGGCTAGGGTTGGGGCCTGATTCCCATTTTCCCTGTTTTATGCTGGGGTTTGTCTGAGTCAGCCTGGGTCTTATGCATACTGTCAGCATTTCTGCAAGTTCATATAAACAAGTGGTCTGAAAACGTCTGTTTTGTTATTTTCATGCACCAACCCTGGCTCTTACAATCTTTCCGTCACCTCTTCTACAATGGTCCGAGCTGTGGGTGAGTGAGGTTTAATATAGGAACCCTATCTAGGGACACGTATTCTGCAGTCTTTTACTGGTCTCCAAAACTTAGCCAGTTGTGGCCTTCTGTGTGCATTGTGGTCTGTTGTAGGAGGAAGCTTTGCTGGTGAGAGTTGAGGGATATATTAGTATTCTCTCTACCCACCCTGTTCTACTATGTTTCATGAGCCTTAGGTGTAGAGATTCCATTGTAGATGTGTCACTTAAAACTGGGAGTCTCTCAAACCCTTTCTTTTCTGAGACAGGGTCTCCCTATAGTCCCAGCTGGAACTAGCTATGTATACCAGGCTGGTCTCAAACTCAGGGATCTGCCTGCCTCTGCCTCCCAAGTATTGGAATTAAAGGTATGTGCCACCATGACAGATTATTTTCACAGATGACCAGCACGACAACAGAAAATCTGATCAATGAATAGGTTGATGCCAAGTTTCACAGAGGAATTCTTAGGAAAGCTGAGAAACTTGGAATATAACAATTACATACAATGACTGATTAAAACAGAGTAAATCTAGGTGACTATAAAAGATATCAAGAATATTCCATCTGCAATCCTAGCAAATGTTTCTCAAAGAAAGTCTTCTGTGTTCAAATAAGTTTGGAAAATGGTTACTCTACTGTTTCCCAGGGAATCTACATATACAATGACATGTAAAAGATCTAAAAAGTCTGAAAGAAACTTGTTTTTGCCTTGTTTAATACTACTTCCCAAGTTTATTGGGCACAGAATCCTTTCCTTAAAAAGTATAAGGAGTTCATGGTCAGCCTTGGCTACATAGCAAGTTTAAGGCCAGCCTAGGTTACACGAAATTCCATATCAAAAGGAAACAACCCTTCCCTAAACAAACAAACAAACAAACAAATGCCATCAACACTGGACATAAAGCAATAAGACAGAATGAAAGCCCCTTGGAGCCTAATGATGCTGTAGCTTCTTGCTGCTCTCAGACGTTTATCAAATGATCTCACTCTAGTTTCATATCAGAGTGGCCGCTAGAAATTTTAAACAGTTCCATGGCTTCATTAATATTTCTCTTATCTAGTAGTGGAAAAACTGAAGCTTTAATCTTTTAATTTCTAGTTTAGAGCTATTCTTAGTAAAGGCTATAAAAAAAACCCCACAATGCAATGAACATGCAGTGAACAAGAAATTATTTCATGCATAAACATCAAGACATAAATATTATATGGTCAGGATTTCTGGAGAATACTGGGTTTACTTTCAAATCTCCCAAGTTAGGAGTGACAAATCTATAAGGCTAGAGTCCTAAGAAAATAAAATGTCATCAAAAGTATAATTATCAGATAAAAGTTCTCAATTCTTTAAACTTTTCTGCTCAAAATGCAAAAGTATTCATGAAGAGGATTAGCAGTACTTACCAGTTATACCCTCTTCTAGAAGATCTGTCATTTTGCAACATGATGCCAAAAGCTTAGTGGTAAATTCATCTAAGAGCATTATCTTAAAACAAATACAAATTAAGAAACAGCATAAGTTTCTGATGGCCAATTCACAAAATTTTGGCAACTCCTCTTTTAGCTTGTATGATTTGGAGATTATATTTTCAATAATATATATGTAAGAATTTTATGTAAGGAAATACAAATATTTCTATTTTGAAGCAGAGCTTGCTCATTTTAAATATATCTAATATTTAATATAAAAATTTCTGAATATTAAAACTGTCATCTACAGAATTATTGCAATAAGCACTGTTCGCTTAGCAGTTACAATTACAAATGATATATTATCATCCTCACCTTCAGATAAAGGAAGCAAGGAAAATTCTTACAACTTGCACAAGGTACGAAAGATATTAAGTGGTACAACAATTTGAAGGTAAATAGCTTAGCTCCAGGTCTTATATTCTTCTGGAAGGAACCTAAGTACAACATTCTAAAGTCCTCAATACAAGAGCAAATTAAGCAATTTCTACCTTCCATTCGCCTTCTTTCCTGCAGTCATCGAACACTGTTGCTTTTATCTCTGTTAAGAAAAAAAGTAATCTAAATCAACAATAAGAAATATAAGACTATGCAAAAGGTCCAAAATCGCTGAGAAAAATTACAATTTGAAAATGTGTTAAACTACATAAAAATCATGTATTTGTTAAGTCACAGTAAAAATACAACTATTTTTAATACCTAACCTATAAACTGTAATATATTCTCAAATTGTTAGCATTTAAGAAGGGCTATTATAGGTGTACGAACATGACTAAAAAATATTTCTGAAAATATTATGATTTAGTTTTTCATTCTTTACTTAAATCTTAAGAACACAGCCCATAAGATCCTTTCCTAGCTCACTGCTAAATTACATTAAACAATCAAATCTGCATGAACTCTTTTCACCCTATTTATCACATTGTACTTTTCAATAACATATCTCATTATATTAGGAGACAAATATTAGGTCTTGATTTATAATTGATAAATATTAGTATGCTCTTTGCAATGATATTCAAAATCAAATATATTTTGAAATTAATTCATTGATTTATAAACCAGCTTCCTTTCGTGCTAAATAAATGTAAGTTGGGGCTGGAGGATGACTCAGCAGTTAAGAACACTTGCTCTTCCAGAGGACCTGGGTCAATTTCTAGCACCTACACACAGGTCGGCTCACAACTGTCTGTAACTCCAGTTATAGAGATTCTGACACCCTTTTCTGGCCTCCATAGGCACCCCACCTCACATGGTACACATACAGATGGGCAAGAACACACAATATACATAAATAAAAATAAATTTTTAAAAAAGTACACATAGGTAATTCACACACATACTTCCTTATATGATTTTTTTCGTATTTAATGTTAAACTAATTTTGAAAACTAATAATATGTAGTATATGATACATTAAATGGAATTAAATGTAAATTGTAGCATATCTTCCTTCACTAATTCTGGCTAATGAAATGATTATATAATTCATTGGTTTTTGAGACAGGATCTTATGTAGTAGGCTAGCCTCAAACTCACTAAAGGTTGAACTAATCCTCCTCTGCCTCTACCTCTACCTCCCAAATGTTTGGATCATAGGCATATGTCACCATGTCCAACTATAATTTATTTAAACTTTCTTTCTTTTCTTTCTTTTTTTTTTTTTTTTGGCTTTTTGAGACAGGGTCGCCCTACAGCCCCAACTGGCCTGGAACTTGTTCTGTAGACCAGGCTGGCCTTGAACTCACAGATCACAGAAATCTGTGTGCCTCTGTCTCCCAAGTGCTGGGATTACAGGCATGCGCCACCACACCCAGCTACTATTTAAACTTTTCTATCTTTATCTTTAAATTTGTCTTAAATAAATGCTTTGGGAAATTTACCACCAAGTTTTTGATACCATGTTATTTAAAAAAAAAAAAAAAAGGTAACTCTTCTTAGGTATTATTGTAATAAAAATTTGGTCTTTGTTCCTAGTTCCTGGCATAAATCTAAAACCCTTGAAACCTCCTGAGTGTCTACAGCATGTAGGTGACATGACTCCTGACAAGCTACAGTGAGGGGTTGGTTACCAGAAAGGTTACCATGTTGTGACTTCTAGGAAGGAAACAGGGACTAGAGGTATCCAATTACCAGTGGCCAATAATTTCATTGGTAAAGCCTACATAATGAAACCTCCATAACCCACCCACCCCCATCCTGGAAGGGTTTGAAGAGCTGAGTTTTTTAATGTACCCCATGTGTAGCAGTGGTGATACATGCAATTCCACAAGGATGAAAACTCCTGTGACTAGACCCTTCCAGACCTTATCCTACACACTTCTTCATCTGCCTGTTAATGTGCATGTTTGTATGTGTACACACTAGGTATTTATGTTGTTTATAATGCTAACACCAGTATCAGAATTAGACTGAATTGTAGGATACTCCATTGGTATCTGAAGAATTGGAGAATTTTTTGGCAAGAGGGAAAAATAACATATTTGGTGTTAAAAAAGGCACATATAGCTGGGCATGGTGGTACACACCTTTAATCCCAGCACTTGGGAGGCAGAGGCAGGAGGATCTCTGTGAGCTCAAGGCCAGCCTGGTCTACATAGTGAGTTCTAGGACAGCTGGGGCTACAGGGAGACCCTGTCTCAAAAAGACCAAAAAAAAAAAAAGTCACATGTAAAATAGTTAATACTCATCAAAAAACATGTGATCTACTGGGTGTGGTAGCACATGCCTTTAATCCCAGCACTTGGGAGGCAGAGGCAGGTGGATCTCTGGTGTGTTTGAGGCCAGCCTGGTCTACATAGTGAGTTCCAGGTCAGCTACAGGGAGACCCTGTCACAAAAAGACCAAAAAAGAAAACCAAAAAAACTTGTGATCTGGGACTGGCGAGAGCACTTAGTGTGTAATAATGTTTGCCTTGCAAAACTGACAACCTGAGTTTGATCCCTGGATTTCACAGTGGAAAGAGAGAATCAATTTCCTAAAGTTGTCTTCTGACATACCTCCACAACATACATGGTGGCATGTACATGGCCATGCATGCATGGGCACACACAGGCACACACAATTATTAAAATTGTGATTTGGATTTATTGTAATCAGGAAGACTCTAAAGTATCTAGAAATATCAGTTAAGGGGTTGGAGAGATGGCACCAACTGCTTTTGCAGAAGATGCAGGTTTGATTCCCAGTACCCACATGGAAGCTAACAACCATTCCTAACTTTAGTTCCAGCCGACGCTCTCTTCTGACTTTTGTGGACACTGCATAGCACGGGTGTACTTACGTCTAGGTAATGCATTCATACACATAAAATAAAAATAAAAAAATTTTTAAAAAGAAATATCAATTAAGGGGCTGGAGCGATGGCTCAGTAGTTAAGAGCATTGGCTGTTCTTGCAGAAGATCCGGGTTCGAATTCTAGCACCCACATAGCAACTAACAACCATCCATAACTTCAGTTCCAGGGGATCTGACACCCTTCTGTCCTCTGTGGGCATTGCACACAAAGATGCACTTACATATTGCAGGTAAGATGCTCATACACATAAAAATAAAAAAATAAAAAAAAGAATCTTTATGGGGCCAGGTGTAGTGGTGCACACCTTTCAACCCAGTACTTAGGAGACAGAGGTAGGTGGATCTCTGTGAGTTTCAGGCCAGCCTGGTCTACAAAGTGAGTTTCAGGCCAGCCTGGTCTACAAAGTGAGTTTCAGGCCAGCCAGAGTTAAATAGTGAGACCCTTTCTCAAAAAACAAATAAAAAAACAACAAACAAAACAAAAAAAAATCTTTTAAATATGGGTTAGATGGCTCAGTGAGTACTGCCAAGCCTGACCACTTAAGTTCCATCTCTGGGACCCACAAGGTGGAAAGAGAGAAGCAAGTACTAATGATTGTCTTCTGAGTGCACAGGAGTGCACACATGCAGACACACACACATAAACAGGCACACAAAACAAAAAATTGTAATGCAATTTAACATTTTTTAAATCTTTTTAAAAAACAATCTTTATACATTTTTATATACTTTATACACTTTTACTTCTGGAGAAGCTCATGATGGGATTGGTGGAACCACAGTATTATCCCTTGTTTTATTAAACATCACCAGCAGCTTTCTCAAAGGCCATAATAATTCATATTCCCACCAACAAGCTTTCCAACTGCTACATGACATCAATCACTAGATTTTGCCAATGTGATAGGTTTAAAAGGGTAACTAGTGTTTTTCTGAAAAAAATAATCCATTCCATTCAAAAACCTGAAGAATCCACTCCCTTAAATGGAAAGGCAGAAGAGGTCAGACCCCTTTCAGACACGCTTTAGCAGCCAGCAGGCAAAGATGATTCCCAGCACCTCCACTAAAGCAATGCCAAGCCTGCTGCAGCAGCCAGCAGGACATTCTTCTGCAGTTAGATCCCAATGTTCTCCATGAAGCCCGGGGTATAGACCACAGATTCCTGGAAATCAGTTCCACAGTGCTCAATGACACTGACAAGGCAGGAATCAGACTCCATCCTTGGTCATGCCATGGATGTTCTCCCAATCTGTGAAGTTAGTAGTCCTCAGCACTGAAACTCTACCATCTGTCCAGGGTAACCAGTCTTAATTTGTATTTCTCCAGGTCAAAAACAGATGACCTCAGCTGCCAGTTGCCTGTTTATTTCCTCTGCCCATTTTCCCATTTGGTCATTATCTTTTCAATTTATAGGGATTCTCTCTACAGTAGGTCTCATTGATATCTTCAACTCTATAGTTTAGTTCTTGGTTTTGTTTATTGTATCTTCTACCACATAGGAATTTACATTTTTGGGGGGGGCGCTGCTTTTTGAGACAGGGTCTCCTTTGTAGCCTCAGCTGGCCTAGAACTCACTAAGGAGACCAGGTTGGCCTTGAATTCACAAAGATCCACCTGCCTCTGCCTCCCAAGTGCTGGGATTAAAGGCATGCACCACACCTGGCATTACAATTTACTTTTTAAAAATTATTTTTAATTTTAATTGTTTTTATTATATGTGTATATTGCTTGCATGTAGGTAGGTGTACCTGTGTTGTGCAGTGCCTGAGGAGGTCAAAGAGGGCATCGGATCCTCTGGAAGTGGAGTTACAGATGGTTGTCAGCCACCATGTGGGTGCTGGGAATCAAACCTGGGTCCTCTGCAAGAGCATCCAGTGCACTACTGCTGAACCATCTCTCCAGACCTGTGATTTACTTTTAATTAATTGGAAGCCAACTAAGATTATGTTTAAGTAAATAAAATAGGAGCAAAGGATAAGAAGGCCAGTATAAGGCAAAAAGCACTAGAGACATTCTGTAAACATGATTAAACAAACAAACAAACAAACAAAAAACCCTAATATTAAAATATTTAGACCTCAAATCATAAGAGAAAAATGAAGCATAAGAGAAAACTGACAAGAATGAGAGCAGAAACAAAGAAAATATAATAAAGATATAAAAAAATGAAAGTATGGGGCATTCAAGCTGGGAAAAAAACCTTAAGAAAATGAAGTCCAAAACTCTCACAGTTAAGTTAGGAAACTAAAGTATAACTTGGACTCGAAACCAAGTTGTACAACTATTAATACAATGTAGAGAAATAATAAACAAGGCTCTTATGAACAATGGCAATATTTTTATTTTTTTAAATATTTTGTTATTTTTACTTTATGTGTACGAGCGTATTGCCTGCATGTATGTGAGTGCACCCGTGTCAATGCCGTGGAGGTCAGAAGAGGGCTTCAGATTCCCTTGGAACCGGAGTTAAGGATGATTTGTAGCCACCATGTGGGTACTGGGAATTGAACCCAGGTCCTCTGCAAGAGCAGTCAGTGCTCTTAACCACTGAGCCATCTCTCCAGCCCCTCAATGGCAATATTTTTAAAACTCAAATAGGCAAAATTTTTTTTTAAATTGGACTTAAAAGCCATAAAGGAATTTTAAAGCCTCAGAAAAGTAAAGCAAGTCACTAAATGCCCAATTATAATTTCAATAGATTCTGCCTACCTCTTGCCTAGATATTCAGTTTATATTAAGAATCTTTATAAAGGGAAAGCCAGAGGCCTAAAACAGGAGGCAAAAACAAAAATCATGAGTTAAATAAAAACAGAGGGAAGACCAAAGTTCTTAAGATATAATGTTCAGGGACTGGGGAGATGGCTCAGCAATTAAGAGCATTGGCTACTCTTGCAGAGGACCTGGGTTCAGTTCCTAGCACTCATGTGGTGGCTAACAACTGTCTATAACTCCAGTTCCAGGAGCTCCAATGTCCTCTTCTGACCTCCATGGGCACTACATGACAGGGGTGCAGTTACATACATGCAGGCAATACAGTCATACACATAAATACATTTTTTAAAAAAGATATAATGTTCAGGGGGGTGGAGAGATGGCTCAGAAGTTAAGAGCACTGACTGCTCTTGCAGAGGACCAGGTTCAATTCCCAGCACCCACATGGTGGCTAACAACCATCCATAACTCCCGTTCCAGGGGAATCCAACACCACCTTCTGACCTCTGCAGGCACTGCATGACACAGGTACACTTAAAACACATGCAGGCAATACACTCATACACATAAAATAAAAATTAAATATTTTTTAAAAGATATAATGTTGCCGGGTGTGGTGGCACACGCCTTTAATCCCAGCACTCGGGAGGCAGAGGCAGGAGGATCTCTGTGAGTTCAAGGCCAGCCTGGTCTACACAGTAAGTTCCAGGACAGCTGGGGCTATAGGGAGACCCTGTCTCAAAAAGACAAAAAAAAAAAAAAAAAAAAAAAAAAGTATATGAAATCAGAATGTATAAAAACTAAAGTGGTCTGCAAGAACACTGGAACACACAGCAAAGCAGGGCTGGGGCTATAGCTCAGTGGCAGAGTCCTTCCCAACACATGGAGGGCCCTGGGTTTAGTCCCTAATATCACCAAAAGGAAAAGAAAAAAAAAAAGCCCAATATATGCAGTGGCAAATACAAATACAAAGGCAAAAAATAAAAAAATGCACGTTTGTCTGTGGAATCTAATAAGGAGCTTGATAAAAGAGTTTGGAGGATTCTCTCTTAAACACAAGTTACAGAGATGAAAAAAACACATCATAAAGTTACTTGATGGTAACAAAAGTCAGAATAGTGGCCATTCTAGGGGAGAAGGTGGTGTTTGCACTGGGAAGTCATGAGTGGAAACAGTCTACAGATTGATTTGGGTGGTGGTACATTGAGTAAAAAAATCATCATCTAGTTGTACACTTAGTATTAGTGCAACTTACCATCATAATTAAATCTTAAGAGTCACTTCCCAGGGCAGGAAAGATGGCTCAGCGGTTAAGAGCACTGACTGCTCTTGCAGAGGACCCGGGTTCAATTCCCAGCACCCACATGGTGGCTACGAACTGTCCTTAACTCCAGTTCCAGGGGAATCTGACGCCTCTTCTGACCTCCACAGGTATTGCATGACACGGGTGCACTCACACACATGCAGGCAATATACTCATACACATTAAAAAAAAAAAAAAAAAAAAAAGTCACTTCCCTTCAAAATAGGAACAAGAAAACAGTTTCCTTTTGGCATTGATAAAAGTGTAAAAAGTGCTGGTGCCTGTTGTTTGAGAAGAAGGGAAAAGTCATCTCTAATGATTCGCCATTGCCTAGGGAATGTCTAAACCATTTAACACAGCATTCATGACCTTTCAGAACTGGCTCCAACCTACCTACTGGTTTACCCCCCTTCCCACCTTTACAACAAATACCTCTACTAAAAGTGTCCTTTTCTATTGCTCCCTCTTCTATACACACTCACATACTTCTTTCTCACCTTTAGGGTAGGCCCAGATTTCCCTCTGCCTGACATCTTAAATCTCCCCTGTCCTCAGAGTTCTCCCTGACCCACTCTCAGAGGGGAAATAATTCTTTTCTCTCCTCTTCTACAATAAAACCTTTTCATACCACTTACCCAGCACTGGATTTTTTGTGCTCCTGTCTTTTTAACTTTACTGTGACTTCCAGGAAGTCAATGAACAGGGCATATCAAACACCTATT